AAATTTTCGGCTTAATTCTTTAGCTTTTTTTGGGAAATTTATCAAAATCGAGTGTAGATTAAGTAATTTTTTTGGTATAAAAGTTTATTAAGGTTTAATAGTTTGGTCAATATCTTATAATTTTTAAAGATTGTTCCAAAAAAGAAACTAGTGATTCTTCATCAACTAGTAAGTTATTCCACTAAGACCTAAGAAATCTAGCATTTTAATTTAATTGTTTTTTTTTATCCTTTTAAATCCTTTGATTACTCATTCTTTATCTGAATGTAGAACTTCAACTTTTAATAAAATGAAATCAAATTTGTTTATCAATTTAATTTCTAAATTTAAAACTTCTCACTTTCAATTCACTTAACAAATTTAAAATGTTAATCATGTTAATTGGTCTTGTTTTAAAAAATTTAAATTTTCACATCATAAATTCCAGTCCTTAATATTTTTCAGACACTTAACAAGCTTAAAGTCTTTCACATGATGATGAATTGATATTGTAAATCTCACTTATCAAGATCTTAACGTACCATAAACAACATTGTAGCTTTTTCGGGATTAATTTTTCTAGTAATAATTATTTAAACAGTTATTTTTTTAAAATAAAAACAGCTTTATCAGCACCAGATGCACTTTTAAGATTAAGTTAAACTTTCAATTTCATTTAAGTGATCCAAAAATAGTGAAAAAGTGAATTATTTATCTTTAGTAGGCACACGCGCCGCGTGTTGAATGATCAGAGCTGCAAAATTAGACTAAAATTGTCTGAATGCTTTCAGTTACATTTATCTAAAGCAAAAATTGAAAGAGAGAAAAAAACGTTTACTTCGCGCACACCGACCGTCTGTTTCGTGAAATGCATTGCAAAAGAAATGAAAAAAAATAAGATAAAATAATTGTTTTGTTTCTGAAATGATCTCGTTATTATTATTGTTTATTTTTATTATTGATGGTGCATGTTAAAAATTTTAGAGACTATTTTTATAGATTAGTCATGTCGGAAAACATCAACAAACATAATGCAAATAAAAAATGCTTCTTTAATTAGACACCAGAGACATTTGGAATTTTACCTTGCTTAATAACGATCTTCATATGATCATTTCCAAAAGCTTAATTGCTAAATAACTTTAAACTGCTAAGGGGCCGTTCACTTATTACGTTACGCAAAAAACTTTTTTCACACCCCCTCCCCCCCCCCCTTGTTACAACTCACCCCCCCCCCCCCCCAAACGTTCATAATTTATTTTATTTTGATTATTTTTTATATGTATTTATCAAGAACATTTACGGCCTGTTTTACTAAGGTAGATTATCCTCATTTTAGGATTATCTATTTCTTCGATGCAAGGAAAATCCAAATAATTTCTTTCTGATGTAGAATTAATTGGTTAATAATAATCAAGCTTGTTTGAGAAAAATCTTTTCTTGTAAAGTGAATATCGCGAAAAAATAATTTTAGTATATGGATTATCCTTAGATTATCCTAGGATAATCCTGAAGATTATCCAAATTTTCAATCTTGGTGGGACCCAGTTTTAACATTTTAGAATAATTATGTAGATAATCGTAGGATGATCTCAGGATAATCCACATACTAGGATAATCTTTTATTATGAAATCCATCGTCAAAAAATTATTTTTTTCAAATCCATTTTTTCTGATTCACCGTGCAGTTTAAAGCAGTAAAACAAATCATGGATTATCCTCGGATTGAAAAAGTGGATAATCCAATCGCTGGATAATCCACCTTAGTGAAACAGGCCGTTAAAGTTTGTTCATAATTCATCTAGACATTTATAAATCATTAAAAAGGTGGAAAATTTAAAAAAAATGTTTTTGGTGTGAATTTGTAGACAAATTTTTTTCGTGAACTTTTTTTTAAAAGACAGACGACAGTTAGAACTTTACATACTTCTTGACACCCCCCCCCCCCCCCCTTATGTTACAATTTTTCAAACCCCCCGTCCCCCCTAAAATGCGAACGTAATAAGTGAACGGCCCCTAAGAGCATTTAATGTTTCATAATTATGAGTAAATCAAAGCGTTTATTGTGAATCTTCTTTTGGAAAAAAATAGTCTGATTTTTCTGAGGATTCGTTCACAAATGATGTCAAAATGAGCTTAGAGGTTTTTTTACATGATTTTGTCATTCATTTAAGGTTAACTCCTGAACTTCGTTTACTCAACTTATTGTCTAAATAACCACAAACAGGATCTTCAAATAACCTGAATTGTAAACAACTCTTAGCTACTGGAAATTAACAAAATAACCTAATCATCCTTTTAAAGACGAACTGCTTTGAATCTAGATAAATTTTCTTTAACTCGTGCAACCTTGACAATCAACTTGTCTGTCTGCATTATGTCACTTAATCTATTCATTTGTTCATTTACAATCATTTTACTTGTGTCAAATAGCATGAATAATTCGGGTCTTTTTTTCGATAAGTCAGCACGCTGCTAATAGCTTGAAAATCGATTAGCAAAATAAAAATGTTAACATAAAACTTTAAAGGTTCATTAACTTTTTATTCGAAATTTTTTGTGTCAAAATTTGATTGAAAATGAGTGAGAAACAAAGTTATTTTTGGCGGTGCATAAAAATTGCAATCAAATGAATATGACGACAGAATTAATAGGATTTGTAAAAAATATTTGTCAGAATTTGATTTTATGATAGACGTAAAATCAAATCTGATCAGATTTGTTTAAAATAATTTTAATGAAAATTCTATTGCAATTATAATTAAAGTTTATTTAACAAACAATCGCTCCATTAAAATCCACACTGAATATGGGAAATTGCTCTAAGCTACTGAATTATTAAGAATTTTTATTCATGCTTCGTATCATTACGCAATTATTTTTAAATTCAATTGATGTAAAGTTTAATGATTTAGTTTTATTGATCCAATTATATTTGAATTCTAATTGCCTGGTTTGATTATGAAACAAATGTTTATTTTTGAGTCAATTAATTTCTCAAAATTGGATTTAAAGTTTTCAGATCTGGAGTTTTTGGAATTTATAAATGAAATTGTTAAATTTTTCAAAAATTTTCATGATGTTGAGTTTTTCGAATCAACAATTTTTTTTGCTAGCAAATTTCAAAGTTCATATCTTTCCCACCTCTTAGATTATAATTGAAATCAGAGTATTTTTTTTGTGAAACATTCTTTGATTGATTGATTGATTGAATTTTATTAGCTCTGTCCGGCAGATTAGCTTATAGATTAGTCATAAAATAAACTGGCATATAATAATAATAGTAATTAATAAACTTGATAAAAATGACGCTTAAAAAATAGAGAAAAATTAATGCTCTTTAATAAGATCTATAGACATAATTGCCCAAAGTTTTTAAATATTTTTCAACTATTTAATTAACCTTGTAATTGATAATTTTGTTGCACTATTTTATTAAAAAAATAAAATAATTCTTCTCAATGATTTTTGCTGAATCAGAAAAAATTATTTTCATTAATTATGTTTTATAGCTAAACTTGCCAAAGCCATTGCACTACAGTCATAAAAAAATAATAATATAATGAAGTGTTAGCAATCTTTAATGTTAAAGATCACAAAATATTGTTTGTCTATGCAGCCACTTTATTGCAGGCTTTAACATATCTAATTGAATAAGTTAATGATCCACTTAATTAGCCTTATAAATTGGAATCAGATCTTTATATGAATTGATTTTTTTAGAATGCACTTCATCAACGTCATAATTTGTCGATCACGTCGCTGCAGAAGTGAGATCAATTATGCTGTTTTTTTTTTTAAAAAAAAAGCATCAAGTGCAATTATATTCCAATTATAAATTTAACTTTTTAAGGCTTGTTGGAATTTCTATGTTCTCGTCAAAAAAGGGCAGACGCACTAGGCAGGCCACTGTCAAGGCACTGTCAAGTCTTGGCTTGTCAACTTCAATTTATATTATCTGAAATGAAATGATGAACCAATTCGCGACTACTAATTGGAGATGAGCACAGACAGTACATCATCAGCAGGTAAATGAATAAAAATGTACTTAAATGTGAGCAATTAAAGCTCATATTATATAATTGACACTATCATAGACACATCATAAGCAAACACAGCATTGGGTCAGTAATATTAACATAATATGAAAGAGATTTGTGGAAACTTACTTATTTCTTTCAATACAAAATCATTGAGAGCTTTTTATAGAGTTCAACAAACAAGCGAGCATTTTATAACCCAAAACGATTGCATGGTCTATGAGCACTAAACCAATAATTTACTCTGCCATGATTTAATTTTTGAAGATTCAATAAGCTACGAGAAAAATAAAAATAAATTGTTTTTGTTTAGAAACATAAACGAAAGCAATTTAGGAAGATGATTCTTACTTACTTGCTTTGTTGCAATAAATGGAAGGAAAAAACGATCAATATTGTTGGTAATTAGCTTGCTACATCAAACTACTGGATCTGTAATTTTGTTTATTTTTTTATTTGATGAGGTAATTTGAGGATTTCATCTTCCTATTGCAATTTAACATATAGAAAAATGAATTAATTTGGATAAAAACTCAAACTCTTGGCTCAAGTTCCACTCAATTCAACACCTTACTGAATTAATTATTACAAAATTACTCATGATAAAGTTTGAATTTTCCACAATTAGCGTCAATCTTCGTTCAAAATGTTGTAAATTTCTTGTAAAGAGATGTATCATACAGCATGGAATTTCATGTCATTTTAAATCAACACACCCAAATCGTTTTGCTAGAAAAAAGAAATATTAAACTAAAAAATAATAATCTGATGGCAAAAAAGGTATGATTAATTCGCAAAATAAGGTAAGCACTGTGTAATGAGGCATTAAAATTACAAAGAAAATATTTTTGTGCAGTCATGGGTGTTTTATTGTGTCAGTTAAAAATCTAGATGCATAATATTATGTGTGACTTATGTTTAATAGCTTTCGTGCAGTTTAGTCTTCAATTAAATAAGTTGTGTGATTATTGTACATTTAAGCTAGTTTTTAGGAAATTTCATGAATTTTGATGGCAACTTTGGGATGCGTTGATTCTGAATTGGATTTGATCTACTTTTGAATGATTTTGGTAATGCTTTTGGTTTGATTTTCCTTTTCAATAGCTTATTTAAGCTTGCTGATGTAGTCGTAGTTGGTGGATCTTCAAATGTTGTCAATTCATCATTTTCTTTCACTGTGAAAATTTCTTCATATGCCAATGTTGTTGTATCTTCATAATAGATCGTTGACTCATTGGTTGTTCGATAATTTTGTTCCTTTTCCTCCAATTCTAAGGATATTAATTCCTCTTGTGTATCTATCAACTCATCAGTCGCTGACAGATCTTCATTAATATCAACATCATCAACATCACTTTCTGTGTCAAGAAAAATCTTTGCGGATCCAGAGCTTTCTGAATCTATAAAATCCAGATCTGTTTTCGTCTCAAATGCATCGTTAAGTTCATTTGTTTCATCATCGATATGATTAGGAGTTTCAGTGTAAGAAGTGAAATTAAAAGAAATGTCGTCTGAAAAAGTGATGCTATTCTCATCAGGCAAATCATCTGAATCAAAAGCTTCTTCGACAGCTGGAATGATCTCATTACTATCTACAAGAAGATTTTTTAACAAGTCAGAGTCTTCGCTTTTATAATCCAGATCGGTAATATCTTCGTCATTAATTTCCAAATCATTATCTTCAAGGTCATTTGCATCAAAATTTTCTGAATTTCTGTTGGTGTTATCATTGTCCTCAAAATTTGCTTTGAAATCACCGTCTGTTTTCAAATCAACATCTGAATTTCCTTGTAGACCAAATTTTTCTGAGCCACCCAATTCATTATTAGCTATTGGATTTTCCATTATTGAAGAATCTTCTATGTCCTCTAGATTTAGGAAATTATCCAATTCTTCTTCATAATCAAGCTTTTTAGTAACAAAATCAGAATCATCTAAAACACTGCCATCGTCTTCTGTTGTAAAGTTATTTTTATCTTGCTTCTCACTTACTGCAACTCTTTGATGAAAACGAGTAGACAATGGCTCTAGTGTCGTGAACTCATAAATTGGAGGTGATGTAGTAAGTGTTTGATTGCTGCATAATGGGAAATCTCTTGATGCTTTGTAAAATGCAGAAGTCTTAATAGCTTGAAAAAAATAGAAAATTAATAATCAATAAAGGGTTTAAAATGACTGTAGTAGTGCTTACTATCTCTGTTAAGATCAAAGACTTCAATATTTGAAAATGCATCATTAAAAATTATAAATTTCTTCAAAAATGAAAGATGCAGTTGGATATTCCTTCCGAAGTTCTTTAGATAGATATTAACTTTGGTTCCTTGATTTAGTTCCTCAATATTCTGAAAATAATTTTCAATGAAGTATGGTTTTTAATAATTTCAAATCGAAAAATTTCATACCACAACACAATCAGGAAGAACAATTATAGAATCATCGTAAACAAATCCACTTGGACTCTCGATAGTTACTCCAATAGCATCACTAATCTCGCCTAAAGCCAATTCAATTGAAACACTAAGTATCAAATAGTCACTGCACGATTCTTCCTTAAACTTTGTCGTCAAGATGATTTCATCGCTCGATTGAAATGAGTACATATAGTAACTGCATGAAAGTTGAACGATTGCGAAACCATCACCATGTGCAGATACATCAAGGTATCTTGTTGTAGGAGGAAGCTAATAACAAATGTGTTAAGTTATGAAATTGTTGCCAACAGTTACAAAAGGTTCAAAATTAAATTACCATAAACATTTGCTTTACTAATTTCAATGGACCATCAATTGAAATGTTTTCAGCATGATCTTCATCGCTGTTTGGTGCTAAAGCAATTTCCAAATTCTCTCCAGTATCCGATAGTCGTGATGCAAAACGAGAAATCGCTTCTAGTGCAACAATCGTGTCTTGTGTTGAGAAAAATTTTGCATTTGAATTCTGATGGATTAGCAGCCATTGGACAATCATGAATGCTTCAGCATACAGTTCAGGAATATGATCGAGTATCATTAAACAGTATGCATTTATTTCAACATCTATTGATGTCGCATTAAACTCTTTCCAAAAGACTTCATTTGATGAAATTTCTTGAATGTGGCTTAAAAGACTTTGTAGGAGTTCATATTTGAGTGGTGAGTCTACTTCATACATAAAGTATGTCACGAGTGCAAGTGAATACAAATTATTTTTATCATAATTTAGTTCAACATACTCGACAGCTTTATGCAGCACTGAAATGTATTGCGGATAAGACTTTTTATTTTCTTCGAATAAAATTCCAATGAATGCTGTAAATGCCACATCTGTTTGAACTTTATCGACTAAATTTTCTAGTGAAGCTTCTTTGTCAGATTGAAATTTTCCGCTTATCTCTTGTTTGGATGCGATGAAGACTAAAGCTTCAAGGAAAACTTCTTGATGGATGTCTATGTAACGTTGTGCTTTTTGAAGATATCTCATTACATTTGCTGTAAGCCAAATTGAGCCTTGAGTGCTGTTACTTATAAAAGAACTAAACGATCCATCCATATTTTTAAACTTAATCAACTTCTGATAACTTTGGGTCAAATAATGCTCAATTTTGGTTTTTATCGGTGCTGTAAGTTGGTCAGTAAGGATTAGATAGTCGAGAGTAAGCACGTTTAATGAAAATACAAACAAAATATCTTCAGCATTTCCAATTGATTCCTTAAAAATTGCATCTATGTTTGACAATGTGATTCCTATAATATCACCAACAACATTTGCATGAACAGCAACAGTTCCATCAATTATAGATTCTTCATCTAAATTCAATTTTAATGTTTTTAAGATATTTGAAGAGCAGTTCTCAGTAGCTATAAAAATTGTGTCTGTTTTTCTCGTCAAAAATCCTTCTGGAATTATTGTTATTGTTTCCACTTTAGACTCTACACCTTTAATCGATGTTGCTGCTATTTGAATACTATAACTTCCAAAAGTTTCTGCACTTACTTCAATAACAAGTCTATGGACATTGAATGGTGGAATCTCTACACTTTGAATATATCCTTTATCTGCTTCATTCCAACCGTAAGTCCATGGACGAGAAATTTTAAAACCTCGATGATAATCAAATACTTGAACATTGGCTGTTAAATCTTCATCGTGTAAATTCCCAATCAAAATTTCGATCAAGAAAATTTCTCCGACCTTAAGAAATGCTGGAACTGAAAAGTCAATAAAAAACTTTTTGTATGAATCCAGCAAAAATGGATCTTCAGACATTCCAAATCCATATTCTTCATTCAATGTTATTGCTGTAAAAGCCCATGTTGCTGACTCTTCTGGAAGATCCGCAAGAATTAATTTTTCGCTTTTTATTCCTTCTGGATCTGTTGAATTTTCAAGACTCACAGTCTTAAATAAAAATCCTTCAAAGTATTGCTTGACATCCTCAACTTTTTCTCTTTCCAAATATTTCGAAGCTTTTAAACTCTGCTCATCATCAATCACGAACTTGTCGTAAACACTCACTTCGCTGTCATCAGCCTTGCATGGAATATTTTGAACAGCATTACTCAAAATCACAGCACCAACCTCAAAAAATGTTTTCTGATATGACAATGGATAGAACCAGAATGGAATATCAAAGTCATAAAAATTTTCTATTGCTGCACGATCATATTTCATAAGTTCATTGTCGAAGACGTAGCCTTTTAAAATGTCGTATTTGTGTCGCTGTGAAATGCCCCGTTGATCAATTGCAAGAAGACTTACGGATGAGAATAATGTGCTTGTGACATTCAGAGAAAACGAAGAGCCTGGGGTTATTGAGTCGATGGAATCAATATTAAGATGAACCTGTAAATTAATTGAGAAAATTGGATGCAATTGTGATAATTTGGAGAATATTCCTAAGCAGCATAAAAACTTAATGTTAAGTTAAAAGAAAATCTAACGATTAGTTTTCAACTTTCAATTTGTGCGACTCGAGAATCAACAATTTTTAAAAGTATACTTACAAAGTTAGGGAATTGATTGTCAAAATTCAAGACTATAGAATCACTTATCAAGTCCCCATCCTCAGTAATAAAATACACAATGCAATGTGCTTTCGGTGTGTAGGAGAATTTTGGTGTTATAGAAAAATTGGCATAACCATAATCAAGAGGGATCAATTTCGATATTTTCAATAGACCCTTTGCCAATACTTGGAATACAGCAAATGATGCCGATTTGCTTGTCGTAGTCAATTCAAAATCAATTTGTTCATACATTTTCGGACGTGGTGTAAGAACATCAATAGCAATAGACTCACTTCTTTGTGTTGAGGATAGATTGACTTGCTGAAAATATTGTATTTTGTCATACTGTGCAAAAATGTTTAAAAATAGCGTGTCTTCCGGTATTTCAGGTGTATAAATCTCAACTGAGCCTGTGTTTGGGTCGAGTTCGAAATCTTGATCTATTAAAATGTCATCCTTGTCGTCTTTGACAACAACATAAATGGGTTCTGTTGAGCTCATCACAGGTAATTCGTCAACAGACTTGGTTACCAATAATGTAAAGCTATATGGAAGTCTAATTTTAAAATATTTCGGAGAATGAACAATTTGTATTTGAAAGTCGCTCATTTCTATTGTGAATGCCGCTATGGATGTAAAATTTTTCTTCGTCACAGCGTCCGTAAAGACAATTTGCAATATATATTTCCTTTGATCATTCATAAATTCCAAACCCAAATCATTTTTAAAGTCAATACTTTCGTACAATTCATAGTGAGTGACATTAATAATTTTTTGGTGCTTAACAAATCTCATCGCATCACATGTTAAGATCAACATTCCCGAAATTGAATGTAAATTATCCAAAACATATTTTGATCGTAAATGAATGGAAATTTTGATCCGTATTGCTCCATCACGGATTGAAACTCTCTCAGGAACTGTCAATTTCAAGTCATAAATTGACTGTGAATCTTTAAAGATTTCAAACTGTTTGGATATAATCTGTTTACGAATGGAAATGAGTGAATTAATTTATTTATTCATTTATTAAGATTTTGTGCCTTACAGTATCATCAACTTCCGCCAAAATTTCATATATTCCAGGTTGAAGTCTCGTAAACACGAACTTGTTTTGGTAAACTCCCATACTTAATTGCACGTTTTCCCATGATTTAAGTTCATTATTCCTTGGATCTAAAATCCAAATCTTGCTATATCCAAGTGTTTTCATATAAGGCTTTGTTCGGGAATCAATTGCAAATATTCTAAAATTCACAACGTCTGTCATTTTGTAAATTGGCTTATCTAATTGTATCATCAATGTGACTTTTTGAGGATTAATGTATAATCCAACAGACTTTGAGAAGTCATCAGTCTCTGCAACTAGTTCATACAAACCGAGGGAAATGTTTGGAAACTGCATGTAAAGAAATGTGATAAGCTTGTTAAGTTATTCTTGTGACTATATTCACTCTGAGGAATAATCAATAAATTTCATTCACAGACTTTTAGTGATTGAATAAAAGGCAAATTGGATCTCCATTCAAACACATTTTTAATATATTCTCAGTGATGCCAATTTGTTCACTTGGATCCTACTTTTATTGAGATATAGTAATGTTGTGAGCATTGTGAAATCGTCCACTAGTGGGGATCGAATCATCGTCCGTAAATTAAGTGAGAGTTATTGATTTTTGGTCTCCTGTCTAGCCAATAGGCAAAAAATGACAGAGAATAAAATCACTCACGTGCGGCTCGATACCGAAATTCACTTTGCTGCAACACCATTATCGTATAAAAGTCTTACCTGAAATTTGAGAACTTTTGAACTTCCAGGATTCAAAGTTAAGTCCTGAAACACTTCAACAACTTCTCCTGTATTGGACACTCCATGTACTCCAACTTTTATGTCCATTTCTTCACCATACATGTCATGAGAAACCACAACAACCCTGTAAGGCTCATCAATCCTTAAAATCGCAGAAGCAACAACTGAAAAGTAGTCACATTGAACTAAAATCAGCTTCACCATAAAAAAACATAAAACTTCTTTCCACTTTGCTTTCATTTTGATATTATAAAGGAAATATTTCCAACTGGCTTGAATTAAAGCGTGAAGATTCTTTTATAGCGAATTCAAATGAAAAGTTGTGATCACGATTAAACAATAATAAAAACTTTTTATGTCAAACAGCGAGAATTATTCGCAGGCATCATCTGGAATTAATTCAAAGGTGGGAAATTTTTTTCTAAATAGTAAATCGATTACGCTCAGGATCGTAGGCTGCAAAATATACAACCTTTTTTTCTCAATACATAAGACTTATATATTACAGACTCCTGATATAAGAGACGAAAGTCGCAGGTGTTTTTGAATGACTTGTCACATTTGTAAATCTAGAAAATCATGTGAAAATATCAACTTGCTGTAAGGTTACGTGCATTTTAGAAAATTTATGGAAATTCACCTACGTGCCAAAAAAAACTTGGATTTTCAAGGTTGAAGTTTGGAAAATTTAAGGAATCGATAGTAAAGATGATTTGTGAATGGACATTTGATTGTATGAGACAACCTTTATTTGACCTTTTCGAGTCCGAATTGAAAATTGAAGGTTATAAACTGGGTCATATCCTAGTGGGCTGAGCATTGTAGGATGTCATTTTATTGAACCTTTTAAAGTTATTGAGCAGAGTAACGACTCGAGTTAACTCGGTTTTGAATCACCTTTAGCTGGCTTGAATCAAGAAAAAAGAAGCATTTAAATTTGTTTTTAAAAGATCAGTAGTGTGACTTCAAATAATGTGGAAACTTGTGTACCGAGCTATATTGAAAAGGCTTATGTGATATGATTTCGATTTATACAAGATTACGGCATGTTAATATTTCAAATGTTTCTACAGCGGTAACATAAATAATTGTGGGAGTCGCTGGTATGAAAATTTGCAAAATCATCTAGGGATCGTTCACTTATGACGTCCGAAAATAACGGTCATTTTTCAAAAGAGAATAACGGATTTCCAGGAATTTCTATTGTTCTTTTCTTGCTGACCCCCCCCCCCCCCCCCCCCCTGGACGTCATAAGTGAACGGCCCCCTACCAACTTCCGTAAAAAAAACTGTAACAAAAATTCGTCAATCAACAAAAAAACTTTTTTTAACATTCACTTAAATCTTTATTTCCGAATAATAATGAATACAAATTTTTTAAGGCCATGACAAATGTATAGGAAAAATTAAACATTTTTTCATCTTTTGTTTTATATAATTTACGATCAATAGCATGCAAAAAGTTTCTTTAAATTCATTAATTAATAATAATTAATATAAAGCATTTTCGCAGCAAAAAATATTTTATTGTAATGTCTAATTTTTAAATCCGAGCATACAAGAGTGAATTTATGATAGGCATTAATTTTTACAATTCAATGCAAAATTTTTAAGGATTTTAAATACCAAAAAAATATTCAAATAACTTCCCTAGCTCGGATATGTTTATTTGTACTGAGCCGGTTTCTTGGGTGTATCTTAGATATTACAAGAGTCTAGAGCAGTGAATTCAAAACTTTGCGTCGCGACACGTGTTTTCTTTCCGTACCTATAAACACTCTTGCTTCAATCAAAATTAAATCCAAGAAATCAGTCCTCTGGGGTATCTTAACTTGAACAAAGTCATAATGTTGACCCCCTTTTATTCTAAGAATTTAATAGACATTACAGCTAGCTACATTTTTGAAATATAAATGTTATCAAACATTTTATTTTTTTTTCATCTAAGTATATCATCTAAATAGTCCTCCACCGAACCAAAATAACAAATCAAAATAAATATATCTATAACAGCATGAACATGAATTAACATAAAAATATATAAATTAATTTTTAAAATATTCTGTGATGTAGTTCCTTAAATTTCTTAATTTTACTTCAAATAGAATTCAAATGGTTGTTAAGAGATTTGATTCGTGCTTGTCTTCTTCATCGCTCACATACATCTGTGTAAGCCCCGATGCAGCTGAATTTGTCTCATACAAGCTGTACAGAAATTCAAAGGAAAAGAATTTAAAAAATAAAGATATATTTTAAGAAATGGGATATTTAAATTACTCAATCACTTCATGTTCATGTTCCTCTAATATTGAACTATCTTCTTCGCCAATCGCAATCGCCAGAAGTGTATCATCACTAAATCCGTCAGATTCTACAACCATGTTAAGTTCCTTTGTTGTTATTTTGGTTGAAGAAATTTTGTTGTTAAAATATTGACTTCGTTTATGGGGCAAAGGAGGCTGAAGGAAGGAGTCACTTCTTGATCCATTCGTTGACTGTTCAGATGGGCTTGATTTAACCATTAATTGTGGCAAATGAGATATAACCATTCTAAAAAAATATTGCATTAAAATGTGAACAAGCATTCAACGAATATTGAAAATAATGAGCGAAATATGAACTAAAATTGACGTGATCTCTTGACGGTAGCTAACAATAGCGCATTTTCTATTAATCGAAAGTATAGGTCGAATAATATTTGAAGAATACAAAAATTTCATACGTAGTTGTGTATCCCTCAAATTTGATTTTCAGGCACAGCCCTCAATCTATAAAAGTAGGTCAAAATTCCAGTACAAATGTAGAAAAATACCAAACCTTAAAACCCTTGCAGATAGTCAGACAATCAAAAAAAGAACTTTTGTCTTTGTAAAAGTGCAGTTGAAATATTTTAATTAATCAAATAACAAGAGCAAAGCATTGAAATTACAATACAATAGAACCCATAAATTAGACTTCAATTTAAGAGTAAGAAATAGATCTCTCTATTTGAAATGTCATACCATGCTCGAAGATATTTAAAAATCATGTTATAAAGATTAGTTGAATGGAATTGTTATGGCTGATTGAATATTATAAATATTTTTTTTTTCAAGTAGCAGGCAGTAAAGGCAGTATAGTAAAAATGTTGCAGAAATTTATATATTATAAATATTTATCAATTTTTCATGTACATAAGTGCAGCAGCAGTTATTAAGTAAAATATGATCTAAAAAAATTATTTTATGATATTTTCGCACAGAATCGCACATAAAAGTAATTTTTTCGCAATTTGCACGCAGTGTGATATTAAAGCGTTGCCTTGAAACCTTCATCCGTTAGAGAGACAGAAGTACGTCTACACGTCTACGACTCAAACATAAAACTTGACTCATTTGAAAGCTTCAAATTGGGGCCACACCACTTCTTTATCGTTTCTCGAATTAAAACTGAAGAAAAATGAAAACATTTGCATGCATATTTATTTGCATTCAGTGTCATGAGACTCATGCGAAAAGTTATGAATCTTAAAATGCACATTAAATACATGTGGCGTGAGCAAGATTAAGTGACTTATTCGCAGAAATTTTTCATTTCAGCTTTCAATCTGGCATCTTCAAAGTTGGCTTTAGATTTGCAGATTTTTTTTTTGTAAATTAGTCTATAGTCGTGGAAAAAGTTCATAAGGTTTATTGCCAGCTAGGGTTTCTCGTAAAAATAAGATCAATTTTAAATTCTTTTTTTTTTAAAATTTTTTTAAGTTTTTGTTGTTTTAATTATAATTATAAATTTGTCGTTTCATGCTTATCGTAAATCCATTAACACATAAATTTAGAATATTCCCACAAATGTTTATGAAATGTTATGAAAAACCAAATAAGAGAAACCCAAATTGATTCCGAAGAATTTAAGTAGCTAATTTCTCTTGAAAAAATGCGTCTCTTGTTAGAGGCGTTCTCTAGCTTGTTATTATATCAGTTCAATTTGAAAGAATGAGTAATGAAAAATCTCATAAATTGGATATAATTTCTTTATTATGACATTTACCTTTCACTTACTGACGCTTTACTTTGTACAACCATTTGTAGCCAACTTTGACTGCATGTCGTTGATGTGACCTCGGGAGTATACCTAAATATTTATACAAAAAAGAAATAGTCAAGAAAAGAAAAATCTTCTGTCAAATTAATTTTATTAACGTCGATTAAGTATAGACATGAATTTGTGTTTCTTTAAAATTAAATTAATGATTAAAATTAATTAATGAGTTTTTGTTTTAATTTGCCAACTGAAAACAGTTTAGTGGCATAAATATTTAATTTAACCTGATAATCAAATTGGATGATTTCAACCTTTGAACTGAGAAGCATGATGAGTCGCTCTTGTCGATTTGTGATGGTGATGTTGATAAGTTATCAATAATCATGGAACTTGTCATTTTGATGTCTTGTTCCGATGATTTTCGGATACGTGATACATCGAACTTTAAATTATCTAATGAGAAAACATAAGAAGAATCCAGCAAAGTAAAAGATTAATAATTATTGCATAAATGTCACATTTATTGTACGTACTTTTAGGAATTGGACCCAATTTCTCTGCAATTGTGTATAAGATGTCAGATGTCCAGAATTCAGGAATTCGTACAAACAACTTATTAGCATCAGCTGGTAAATGAAAACCGAGTTTATGCAATAAAAGGACGAACGGCTGATAAACCAAAATTTTATGTTGTTCGGAATTGTATGGTATCAAAGGTATCGATTGCTTTTTCACTGAATAAAGAAAGGGTAAAATAGAAAATTCTCAATGATTTTTTTTTTCAGAATATGCGTAGATGTAAGGTATATCTTACATATGCAATGATGTGGTACCGGCTCCGGAACAAATATTGGATTGTTGTGATTTACAACGTCATTCGTATCATTTTTTGGACAATACATATTCAATTTGATGAAACAACATTCAAGCAGCACGCGCTGCAACCATGTTACCAGCTTTCCTTTATTCTCCTTTAATAGTCTATCTCGTAAGACCTACACACATTACAACGTGATGAATACTTTGCATTATTTTAAATAATCTAAAACATTTTACCTTAATATCGTCAGGTTGGTTAGATGTGCTGGTTTCAGAACTATCTGAAATGTCAATGCCAGATTCCTCTTCTTTTGACGGTGAATCAGTAATGCCTGAGGTCTTTGCCTCCCTCTCATATTGTGAATCTTCGTATTTCATCAAGTCATCATATTCAGTCAATGAAATGAGATCTTGCTGTAATAATTGTTGAATGACAGCCATGCGGGACTTTGCTTTTTGTCCTGAGTCTTTCAACTGCTTAATGATATGGCCGATAATATCTTTTTGCTTCTTGCTTTGAACATAGTACCAATAAAGTACATCTATCTCTTCTTGAGCCCATATGTCACTAAAGAGGCGATAAATTAATTAATGAAAGGATTAAAACCAATTTAATCGACGTAAAACAATATACATTCCTGCTAAATAGCATGTACTTAATTAACTTGTAAAACATAATAAATTGAAAATGTCATTACTTTATGGAAACTCCGTCTGATAATGCGGGACTGGGTAATGCAATTTGTGGCTTCGGTGGTGTATTAATGAACTTATGTATGACATATTCAATTAAATCAGACCAATCCTGCGAATTTAAATATGAATCAGTAGAAAATGAACATACAACTTTTAATAATCTACTCACATCACAAATTTCATATTCCGTCTCCCAAATTTGGCTAAAGGTTTTGAGGATAATGGGTTGGAATAAAATTGTCACTTGACCAATTTCTCCAGCAACATGATGCATCATTGTAAAGCAGCCTTTATTTTAATAGAATTAAAATTAGTCATATTGATTTCGTTTCGGTTTCAGCACATTTCACTTACAATCATTGACAAATTCTCCATTTTCTTTAAACTTTTCCAATAAAATTCCGTATTGATGCATAATGTCTACAGTTGCAAATTGTGTAATATGTTCCTGCATTTTAACATTGCATTTGTTGTCAGATTGCTTTGTGACATTGTCCAGCAACAAAAGCAATATGTGATTCGTTACAATTAGATCCTGTAAGTATTGTCGTGACTGTAATTTAGGATTGTAGCATCTTAATAACAGCACAAACAAATGTCGTAAGTCCTCTGTACAACAGATTTGGGTTTGAAGGGTCAAAATATGTTCCTTATCTTCAGCTGATAAGTGATTACTTCGTTTATAAACTTCCAGAGCTTGTAAAAATTCTCTGATTGCCGTAACGACTAAATGGATGCGCCTTAAATAAGGCTTAAGGTCACCTCCCTGTTGTCTCGATATCAGTTCCAGCTGTTCACATAAGTTAACTCCTTCATATGTAAGATATGAAATAATATCAAAACATAAAACGGAACTGATGTGTTCCAAATCAAGTTCTAGTTGCGCAGCAAACTTAAGGAAATAGGTAACCAGCCAGAAAAAGTGGGATGTGTCTATAGACAATTGTAAATCTGTAAGGAGTTGTGCGTGTAGTTCTTGCACTAAAAATCCATAGCCTTTTAGTAGAAAATCGACTGTAAATTCTTTTAAAATATTTGAAATGTCTTCATCTGTTGGGGTGTGATGGATGAGACCTTTCATATTAATTATTGAGCTCTTGCTTCTCTTTACAAGCTTTTTCCTTCTCGCATCCTTCTTCTCTTGCGTCAATGCCGTTGCATTTGCTCCATTAACATTTCTTTGCTTCTGTGCAGCATTAAAGCGCTGCTTTTGATTCGTACTTGGTGGTTTTTGGTGTGTTGGTTTCTGTTTTGGACTATCATCATCGTTACTTGACGTGGATATAGATTCTTGATTACCTTGAAGGTCGCCTATTTCTTGGAAAATTCAAAATGAAATATACTTATTTAGTACTATAAAAATATGTAACAAACCTTGTGATACTTGCGTACCGTATCCACAGTCGCTAAGTTCACTCAATTGATTGTTCGATGAATAATGACTTTGTTTAGACTTGCCCGAATTAATCTTTTGACTATTCGAACTGTGTTTGTGATTGCTTCCATTTGGATGATTATTATTAGAGTTGCGCGTCTTTTGAGTCCATTTTGAATTTTTCGACTCATTTGGTTCGGGACTCTACATTTTGTTTATCGACGATAAAAATGACAATTAAATTGCATACGAGTCATTAAGATGCATAAAACATGAACTGCATGTAATTCAACACTTACCTTCATAACAACATCCTGATTCAAAAAATCTATGGATTCTGAGCTTGTTATTGATTGAGTTGAATCGATTGATTTTTGTGATGTAGCGGCTGATACTTTTGGTTTTGCACGTGCTGTTGATGCTTGATAATCAGTATTGGGTATTCGACCAGATGAATTTTCAGAATTTAATAAAACATCTTCACTTATTGTGGTCATTTTACCACTTCCGTTATCGGATGAATCGCTTGTAGGATCAGACGTCAGCATTGGACTTGAATCACCACTACATTGTTTTGGTGGTGACGTATTACTCTCATTATCTTCTGAACTTTCTGTGTGGGAAACTGCTTCGAACCAGTGATTTAATAATTTTTGTAAGGTTCCTACATGCTGATCTTTATACATTAATGCGATTAATTGAACAATTGTTACACCCCAGAAAGCACGTTGAGTACACGTCATTAAATGAATTAAAAGCTTATCAATACTTTGAGTAAATAAATTCCATATAATTTGGTTCTGCATAGATGTATACGGTTGTTGATGTTGATATAAATGCCCTGAACCATTCTCTGGTATGTGAAGGATATTACGGAAGAGCAATAAGCAGTTGTTTATACTCTCACATTGCGTTAATGATAATTTGTGATCAGTTTCTAATATCGATTTCATATGATCTATTATTGCCTTCGTCACTTTTAGATCAACAAAAACCTCTTTACTTGTATAAAGCAGTCGATTTAATTCATAAATTGTGTGACGTCCAATTTCTGTCCTCGACATCACGTCCACTGACAAAAGACATTCAATAGGTATTGTTAAATTGACCATTAAGCGTACAGTCGTGTCTAGAATAGTCGAATCTTTGGCATTCAACAATAAAGGAACTATGTCTTTCTTAACATTCTGTCCAAATCCAATTGCCCTTCGATATGTTCGCAATGTATGATCTTCCATTGCCAATTTGCAGATAATCTCCTCAAGTATTGATAAGCATTCATCATTAATAGCATATGAGTCGCCTTGGATTGTACCAAGTGCCGCAAATGTACTATGAATCTGAGGATTATTTAATAGCTCCATTTTATGATTTGTATAAAAAGGTATGTTTCGTAGTAATTAATGTCTTATATAAATTGTTTGTTTGTAAAAGGTTCAAACTTTATCTTATGTAATGCGAAGATAAATTTTTGGAACTGGTATTTTTAAAGATTTTCGTTTAATTATTTGTAACTTAATGAAATCCATTTAACACCTGTAATGAGAATAATTAATGAAAAATTCTTTAATGGATGCATTAAATAAATAAATTTATCCTAAAGAGAAGACAATGACAATATAATGTCTGGTTATATCATTAAAACCTACATAATATTCTCATTTTTCATTGATGAAAATAGAATTAAATTACAGTCTCAAATCACGTTTTTGAGCACAATTCCCGGCATTATATGCTTGATTGATTCTATACGCTTGTAAGGAATCATTAAGTGCGTTTAAAAGTTCAATTGTTGACATTCGCTACAAAGACTCAATCATCGCTATCTATTTAATTGTGTCAATCCGTTTCACAAATTCGAAATGACTTTAATTTATTTATGAAAAATAAGCTTAAGATTACGTAAAAAATGTACAGTTCTTAATTTATACAGCAGCTTTAACAATTTGAATAATTTAACATCCCGTTTTGATTTAATGAAGGCATTCGTAATCAAATGAAGTTTAATAAGTTTTAATTTATAGAATCATGCAAAAAATAACTTTATGGATGTCAAGGAAGCTTGTTTTTTTCTAGCGATTACAAAGTTTGCAGCAACACAATATCCGTAGTAAGAGTAGGATTATTATTTAAAAAGAATCGATAAAACAATTTTTAACAGGATCCTACTCAATACAATGGTCCTTAATATATGATATGTAGACATATTGAAGTATGGCACGTTAACTAGCTTATCATATTCACACAAAATTTTCAATTTTTTTATTTTAAATTTTACTTGATTTATTTGTCAAAAGACCAATAAAAGTAGATAGATCTATAGAGAAAATTTGACACCTTAAAGATTCTTCAAATTTTTCATATGAATGCATAAATAATGCGAAGGATTAAAAACACCCACACAGTATCACAAATATTTATACGTGCGATTCCTTCAATAACATTTACTTATGTGCATATGAGTCAATGAGCCAAAATAGAGCATAGATGTATTCTTATAAATTTCGTCGTTAAAATCTTAGTAGCTTTGAATCACATCTGTATTTTAGATCGTGTTTTAACATTTGCATAATAATAATTCATACAATGATGAAATCGCAGAAACCAAGGAAAGTTTCAATGTGTCAAGACAAAAAGCAAAGAAAATGAAAATTTTTACAACAAGAAAACAGAAGTCAGTGAAACAGGCGATGAGAATATAACAAAAATGTACGAAACACGTTGAAATCAGCAGTTACGTGAAAAATACATTACACAATCGAATTATAGAGGAGAACTGATGAGGATCTTGAACGTGAGTTTATAAAAATTTACCCACAATCACATTATTATATCCTTTATTTGTTTTACAAGAATGCCATTTCTCTTTTGTTGTAAGGCTTCCTAAAGACTCACCAACGCAATGCGATTAGCTAGTATTGGAACTTATTGTAATCTTTTTATAATATAAACTGAGCAATTGAATGAATTCGTGAAATTAGGTACAATAAGTTTGCTGACCCATAATTTTAATAATGTATACAAAAGTTATCAATTAATTGATATATGAGTCAAATTCTTTAGAGTAGCAAAAGTCTAGGGATATAAATGATATAGTTTGTCTTTTTAATAGTTTTACTGAAAGAACTTGAAAGTCTCATAATTATGAAATAGGATTAACATAAAAAAGTTTCTTGTTACGACCACACACATTTGAAGCCTTAGATATTCCAATAGATCGCGGTAAATGACACGTCGACAGTTAATGTTCAAAAGAGAATTGTGCCATACATTAGAATAACTATAGCTATAGTAACTGTTATATTCTGAGGAGTTAAGTTTAATTTTGAAATCTAAAGGAATTCAATTATTTCAGTGGACCAAGTATTTTTTAATCCAACTCGTTTTTTTCCAAAATAAACACAAACAGCAATCTACAATTAGACTATTATACTCCGAAAATTGAAGACGTGGTCGGTCTTGAATTGTAAATTTCTAAGATTTGAATTTTGGAAATTTTTTTTTTAAATTACGAGCTGTCGGGATTTCCTTTTGTTTCGATTTCTTTTATTTTTTTCCTTAGTAAATCAGACTTCTTTCTAATCAATAAGTCACGTTACTAGAAGCTTGGTTGAGATTAATTTTAACAAGCACTTGAATGATTTCCATTTTAAACTTAGTTTGGGTTTATTTTCGAAACAATAGGAAAATCCAAGAGCAAATAAATGGAGTAAAAGTTTATGGCATATTTTTAAAATTCATCATGTGCGCCCACATGCCAAATGGCAAAGCACATTTTCCATCCAGCTCTCGAGAAATTTTCATTTTGTTGCTTGTTGTATTGAGAATTAAAAAACAATACCATTGAGGCTTTTGAATAAATTTAGAACAGGTTGATATACTGCTGTTTTTGGAATGAGATTGAGTCACTTGCTTTGCCTTCATTTTAGACACATTTTCATATCACCTGGCATCAAAAGCGTTTGTTTGAGACATTTGATCGACATGATTGACTTTTTTAATGTTTTACATAACCACAGATGGAGATCTCTAGACTTCCATCTCTATTTGGACATTCGATTGACATTTTTTACTCCTAGCTCCTTAAATAGATCTCATATTTTCAAGTGTGGGAGTATCTGTATGATGAGATACTTGAAACCTTATAACATATTTATTATGTTGCGAAACATAAGTCTTTTTATTGTGAATAAGCATCAATGGAAAATCAATTGAGAATGGAGGGAGTTTTTGTCACATTATTGACCACACTCATGGTAGTTATTTATGACAAATAAAAGATTATCGCTCATAAAGTCTGATGTTTCTACACGTTGGAAAACACGGAGTTGTGTATGAATATTTTTTTTTTATCGTTGTTATGTAGCATGATAAATTGGAATAAGAATTGAGTTCATTTTTCGGAATCCTTTCAAGGATGAACGACAATAATATTACTCATAACAGCTCATAATGTTCTTTAATGGATCTGAAAACTTCATGAAATTTTTTTAAACTTTAAACCGCAATAAGAATTGATTTCAATACTCCTTAAAATATCCAACTTAATTTTTTAATCTTTCAATTGAGAGAAAAAGCTTCAATCGATAGTATTAGTTGATTCCAATTTGATTCAGTTAAGCGCTTTTGATTCCATTAAGTATTGAAATTCAATAGCTGAACTGAAACCAGGACCGAAAAGAGTGTGAAATTTTTTGAATTAAACAATCGGATTAATTCATACTAAACTTGAGCAAGCAAAGCTATCAGAAATTTTATCCGTTAAATCCATTCTTCTAAATGCTAATCACCCACTAAGCAGAAATTAAGCAGTCGATTCAATTAAATAATATATTTATTATATCCGTGTAACAATCTCATCACAGCTTGTCTTTTTTTCCTCAACACTGAATCATCAAATTGTTAATGATAGGTAACAGGTACATATCACAAAACAACCTATCTATCCATGTGCAATGTTTATAATTCCTATATAACAACTTGTCTGAACTTTATCAGCACATGTTATAAAATTTTCTAACAGATTTCTCTTAAAAAAGCCGAAAATTTCTCATAATCGAATATTCGATCGAAGCACAATTATTGTAAACTGTTCGGCACGTACCATTGCAAAAATATTCGTGTGAACTTCGAGAAGTCTTATGCCTACATTGGGAATAAACACGATTCACATGTTGCAACACGATACAGTACATCTTCTCTTGCTTTTATCAAATTTTATTCACATAAAAATAATCGAAAAGTTGGAAATTTGCTTGTTGTGGTGATCAAAAATAAATTTTCGTACATATGCAACAAAATGCTCTACTTCCTTCATACCCGTGTGTGAAAAAAATATTCTTGTAAACAATTTTATTGATAAAAATAACTCAAAGTTATTGGAAGCTATTTTGTTAGGAAATATTGTTATTCGTTCTTATGCCTTTCAATTTTTTTGATACGTAATAAAGTTTTTGAAGGTCCTTCAGGTTGATTTAATAGCTTTGTTTGATGCTGAATTTGGTGTTAATCTTCTGTTTTTTTTTAAGATTTTCAAATCTTTATTCGTAAGTTTTGTAGACTATTAATTGAATTGCAGTGCCTCCAGCTGAAAGGCTGAGCCCTTGAAAAATTATTATTACGTAGACCAACGTAGGTAGACTATTCAGAAATTGTTTCTTTTTCTTGAATATTTATTAATGTGATTTAATGGAAGCAGTGTTGCAAATGTAGATGTCTACACTAGATGAAGAATGTAGTTTCTTCAATAGTTTTTGTCTAGCTAAGAAACTTTCTTCATAAAGATCGATTCTATATGAAGATAGAAAATCTAATCTACACAAAGATTATTTCTACATAAAGATTTTGTCTACATAAAGATTCGATGTAGATGTCTACAATTCTACATTTTTTCCAGGTCTACATCAGAGAAGAATGTAGAATTGTAGACATCTGCATCGAATCTTTATGTAGACAGAATCTTTATGTAGAAATAATCTTTGTGTAGATTAGATTTTCTATCTTTATGCATAATCGATCTTTATGAAGAAATTTCTGTCTCAGAATTTATCTGATTCAGACAAATGGCCAGAATGCAACACTGAATGGAAGCCATGCTTCTAATTAATTAAAACAATAGTAGCTTAACTCTTACATATTATTCTTAAAAAACTTTTTTATATTAAAAGCAAAAGAGCTTTTTTGGGTACAAAGAAATATGTGGTTGAAGCTGTGTACTAATATAATCATTAGAATTATTTATACGCAAGGAACTATTGTTGAAGAGGGTTGGAAAATTGAAATAAATGAATAAATAAATTTATGCAAAACAATCGTTTTCCAGAACGGATGTAAATTTCCTTTTCGTGCATCTAGCAATTTAAGTTTACTTGAACTCTTAAAGCTTTCCTTCTTTTAACAAAGTCTTTCCATAATATTATAATTTTCAATGCATCTTTTGTATCCACGCCCAATTGATTTTATAAATTAATTAAAAAAATTCTCTTAATTTTACATTTAAGCACAAACAAGTTAATTGAAAATAGAATTTTCTTCATTGTCAATAGCTGTCATAATTGACAAGTCACTAAAAAATTCTCATAATCACAAAAGTTCAATCTTCCTGTTACGTATTTCAAAACAAAAAATTATATACCTAAATCAAAGCCTGCACATGTCAAGTTAGACAATTACACGCTTTTTCTAATGCCTATCCACATTGGTAAGCATCGTGATTTCCAATAACAGCTTATTTACATGCAAAAAATTTTCAATTTGGATGAAATTTTATTACGAGTCTTTTTGGTTTTTCGAAAGATTTTCGGTTTTGTAGATTTATCAAAAGGTATTAGATTTCATTTAGATGTCATTAAAACGGCATTTAGAGATTTTAGACAATATTGGAATTGAAGTTTTTGTCAAATTTATTATGAAGATTTAAATTTTTTTAAACAGGATAAGAATTCTCGAAATAGATGTTTTATTAAAATTTGAATTTCATGCTGTGATATATCTTGCACTTATTAATTATGGAAGTTTGTTTTCAATAACCTCACTCAAAATTTCTGTGCTTATTTTGTTTACTTAATTTTGGATTGTAATTCCCAAGCATGATAATTTTAGGAACTTTAGAATATCTTTTCTTGTTACAATACAATGAAAATGTCTAAGAGCAACCAAAAGTTACAATTAGTCTGAATATTATTTTAAGAACCAAAAACTTTCTAAAGTTCATAACAATTTAAATATAAAAGTCATAGACATTTTAGCACGAGTTTTCTGAAACTTTTCAAATTATTATAAACTCCTTTAAGGATATTTTCAGAGGTTAAAAGTCTCAAAATTACAGTTCATTCATCATTCAATGGAAAAACGTTCTTTTCATTATAGCAAGTACAACATTACGATGAAATCATACAAAACTTCTTTTAAAGTACTCTAATTACGTATATCCAAACGACGACAGGTTCAAAAAAAAATATGCTCTTTTATTTCTGGATATTCACGTAAACTACGGACAATTGTTTGTTGGTTGCATCACTCAACTTACAACTACATATGCGGATATATTAAAATGCGACGTTGTCATTTATTTACTATCAATTCTCAATAATAAATAATAATTGACATGTCTAATCAGTCAGCAATTAATTTGAATGCACGTGCATTAATTTTTACTCTCAATCTCGAGTGTTGGATAAGCCAAAATCAATACAACCATAGATGTAATCGAAACTTACCAATTTTTTTATAAACTTAATTAAATCACGTTTAAAAGTTAATTTTGAGATTTAAGACGAATTGGTTTTTAAATGAGTACACATAAAAGCTTAAAAATCATTAATTTTTTAAAAGCTCAATCTTTTCATTAATCAAATGACGTTTTCATTTCTATTATCTTTAATTCGATTTGTTCATTACAATAAGTTTTTGCATTTAAAATTCATCTCCACTTTACACTCGTTTATTTGCGTATTTTCTTTATGATATTTGCACTAACGCTTGTGTATCATGCAAGGTCAGCAGTTTCATATGATTCAACTACTGCCGGTTTTATTTAACTTTCTATATGATTAATCACTTCTTCACAGATTAATTAATTTTAGCACAAATTAATCGACATTAAAATGATCCGAATCACTTGATATAGTTCACCACTGAATCTTCACTTGAATTTTATTAATCAAGTCTTAAAAAAGACTTAGAATAATTTATCCAAAAAGAGGTAGTATTAATTGCGTATGTAGCTTATCCAGTAAGCCTTCTAATTTCTATTCACTTGGAATAATCAAGAAACTTTAAACTTTTAATAAAATAAATCCACGGGATCTAAAAAGCTATAGGTCCTATCAGGATGACTGCAAAAATACAATTAACCTAAGAAGCCGACAGCAGAATAAACAGTATAGATTCTCTCCACAAAAACATTCCGAAAGCGCAATCGTGAGACATTTTTTTCCATAGAAAAATTTTCCCCTTCAACCGACAACAGAATTTACAAATAGGCTCACGTGTGATTACAACGTGCTCGTACTCAGAGTCTCTTTTTTTCTGTTACTTGTTCTCTCGATACTTGAAAATTTTATTTTCATTGATGCTTGTGTTCTTTCTATTCTCTTACTTTCACTTTTGATGTTTTTCGATCATGACAAGCTGTTAATCTGTTGTCATTGATTGTTGTGGTTGTTTTTAAAAGAACAGCACAGAATCAGGAGTATTCTGATCAATATTGACAAACAAGACGAGAATTTTTCAAATAAAATATTGAATTTTCGAAAGTGTGCTATAACATGTGCATCGTATAGTAATCATGTATTCTAGCGTGATCAATAATTCATGCTTATTTAATTACATTGCTTAATTTACAAATCTTACGTTTATGATCTTTTAAATGTCGATAACTTTGGGGCTATTCAAATATAAATTCAGAACTACAAAATTATGGAATTAAAATCCGCTTTTGCTCTATTCTATAAGGATCGCATATGAATCACTTAATATAATTTTTTGGGGAAGGATCTTGGCTGCGCAGCGTGCATATTTTGCAATTAAACATTTACACAAACATCAAAGAGAATAGCGAAACATGCCAAACTAGTGATGTACAAGACGCTAATACGCCCAGTAGTGTTGAACGGTTCTCAGCCATGGAATATGACTATCACAGATGAGAACGCAATTGATGTATTTGAGCAACGGGTTCTGCAAATTATATTTGGACCGAAGAGAGAAGGACACTTTTACAAGAGCAGGAGCAACGCAGAATTATATCAGCTTTTCAATGAAGCTGATATCGTACTATGAATCAAAGTTAACAGGCTCCGTTAGGCACATGTCCAGCCCATTAATATGTTGAAGCTCCCATTAATAAATTTTTCAAGACTGTTTTTGGAGATGGCAAAAGATCAAGCGGACGTCCGAAGAATTTATGTAAAGAAGCTATTGACAGAGACAGTATTGAATTTGGTATGGATAATTGGCAAACGGTAGCCAGCGATAGAGACAGCTTCAGGCACTGTCTAAGGAGACCATGGATAGCTATTGATCTGTACGGCCAGCGAAGTAAGTGAGTCATAAAAACATTTAAACATAAACTTTTATTCGAGAGTTATTCTGCTGTATTTTAGTCTTCCTTAGTCTTTGTTATCTTATATTCTCTTTATTGAATAAGCTCAACTTTCATTAGTAATATAAGATCGATCATTTTTGTCAAAATAATAAGATAGTAGAAAACTGTTTTAGAAGTCATGAATTTAAGCTTTACTTGCATTATATTTTTAACTTGTTTTATTCTCAGAGTCTCCACAAATTATAATTATAAACTCATTAATTTTCTCCCACTATTCAAGTAGTCTAGAGATGAAATAAATAATTGAGGAGAAAATTACACCGAGTAATTATATAATCACGACCTTTGCAAGAATTTCTCTCGCTCTCGAGTTTGAACATTAAAGCAGGCATACACGTGATGTATAAAGCCACAAAAAGCAATCATTAATGTGATATTTTTAGATAACAACTGTTACAGTACGGATATAAATTTATTTCACATTGGATTGACTTATTTTTGAAGTTCTTCAGCACGTTGTGCACGGATATTTTAAATCCTTTATTTTTATTACTTTTTAAACAAAAGGTAATATTTTTAAAATCTTTTTGTTGAAGAAAAAATAGCTGAGCTGGAATGAACTTAAAGTGATTCATTAAATTATTTATAAACTCAATTTCAATATGACAAATGTATTTTTTTTTATTTCTAAATATTTGCTTTTGATTAGACAGAAAAAGAAAAAGATTTGAATCATTTGAGCATAAATAATATGTTTATGGCTATGAAATGGATACATGATATTTTCATTAAATTGTCAAATTGTAATTCAAATACTGTGGATTTATTTCTTGTGCATTCATGTATCTTGTATTTTTGTGCTGCCATTACAAACATCCTTGAAAATATTTCGCCAGGATATGATTACATCCAGATTTTCTCGAAATCCACCCTATTGAGTCAACAGATATCATGTTTTCTTATTGTTTTGACATTTATGAGTCATTGCTCTTGCTTCCGTGTATTAATGCAACAGGTTTTTTTCGAAAATATTGTGTCCATAAGTTGATTCTTACGAAACATTCAAAATTTGATTAAATCTAGTTTGTTGGATCTCGTAGTTTATCAGTAATTTTTGATTGTGAACGCTCCAAAATGAGTTTATCCATAAAAGATTTTTAAATTTAAATAAGGCTGTACGAAAATCTGATGAAAATGCAACAAAATATTTTCATAGGATTTATTGCATTCAAAATAAATGTCGATAAAATGTAAAAGTTATGAAAATATTACAATTGTAAGAATGTAAAATGCAAAAATGATAAGGATATAGACAGGTGATATTCATATATATTGAATCTGATAAAACATGTATCAAAAGGTTATTCATTTCTCATTTTTTTGCTATAAAAAGTCCCTAAAAATTTGATAATTTTTGAGATAAAAGTCAACAAATTTTCTATAACTAAAATAATAATAAGTAGTAAATCCGAAGCTTTGCACTGTCTTCAAAAAACAGATTAGTCTTTTGTTGCTGATGCAATTTCGTACTTTCCATTTTTAAATACAATAACTATCGTAGAAATATTATCCACAGAGCCTCTTATATATGATTGAAGAGTTATGCTCTTTGCCCCAAAATGCGGCTCGTCTAAATGATCTTTGATAAAAGCTGTTGCTTCTTCATTTGTAAATGTGTCCCAAAGTCCATCTGATGCTAATACTATGAATTGTGGTCTATAAATAAACACATTTGGATATTGAAAACACATTTTTATAATTTTTTTTTAACAAGTGGATATTCATTCTATTTATCGTCGAAATTGGAATTTACTTACTTATGGTCAGACAATTCAAATTGTAAAATATCTGGATTAGCAATCACTAAATTGTTTTCTTTTAATGGAAAATCGCCTGTGAAATAAAAATGCAGGAAAATGTTTATTTTATTTCATTTCCTATTTACGCATTTGTTCTACAAAACTGCGCAAGCAATTTATCATGCCTTAAATAGACAAAGAACATACCTAATGCCCTCGAAGTAGCCAAAATCCCAGACACACGCCATACTCCTTTAAATGCTATAAAGCCACCAGCCTCTTGAATTCGTTTATGTTCTCGTGCTGATTGTGGCTTATGGTCGAAAGAAAGTGGAATCGTTCTACCTTTATTATCGTACATAACACCACGTGAATCGCCTACATTTGCTACAGTCAGTTTTGTTCCTTCAATTAATGCAATTAAAGCCGTCGTTCCAGCTACATTTGAATTCTTTCGTGTAGTCTCAACAAGTTTATGATCTGCAAAGAGCACTTCGTCTGTAATCATTTTTGCAAAGTCTATACCTTTTCCTTTGATATAACATTTTGCTTCATAAGATTTTGGTGCTGGTGATGGTTCTGATTGTACATTTTGCTTATTAAACATATTATATCCTTTCTGTTGTGGCTTAAGTTTATTTAAAATATCTGAATCAATTGCATTTGCATTATCATCGTCCGTTTTTGATATTGTTCTCCGTGCACTCAATTTCCTCTGTAGTGGTACATTAGCTTGCAACTCGTCGGCAGCATGCTTTTCGCCACAATTGAGATCATCCTTATCTAAACTAGATAGTTCATTGCTACTTTCTTGTTTTGGATTCTTAATAAGATTTCTTGATTCGATAATTTTGTTGTATAAATTCTGTATTAAAATATCTTTTGCGAATTGGGCTGCATATTCACCGCCATGTCCATCAAATACAGCAAATAAGCTTACGTCTGTTGACGAGTTGATATTCTCTTCGAGCACAAATCTACAATAATAATAGGAGAACAGTAAGAAAGATGCATTTATGACCTTTGGAAATTGATGAAGTAAAAAGTTGCGTAAATTTGACCAGATTATTATATTCTCTATAGACATGAGTGGCCTTAATGACGATCTATTTATAGTGTCTACATTTTTTTTCCCACTATGACTTCACAAATTGTGCACGAATGTCTTAATAATTAATCAATTTACAAAGGATTTTAATTTTAAACATTTAATGTCTTTTGGAAAGACTCCAAAATTCAAGATAACAGTCGCGAATTATATTTCGCAGAGCTGTTTTTTAAGAATCATCCAGGACTGGATGTTAAATGAAAAAAAAATGATTTTCTTACCTATCTTCCATCTTATTCCTCCTGCCTTGTATGGCAAATGCAGCACTTTGCTTGTGCCGTACATCCCAAGAATCCTTCTCAGCAGCAGATATTACAAACGGTACTTTTTTGGTCTTAAACCTTAATGTGTTTGATATTTTGTTGAAGAAACTGTTCGTATCGAGGAGATTTGCTTGTAGATAGAAGCATATTAGTATAATTAATGTTCCTAACAAAAAGATCACTTCTGGTTTTATACAAAATTTCATAAAATAGCTTAAAAATGATAGATTTGATGGTAGCTTATTGAAAAATCCAAATGTATTGACTGCAAGCCGCGATATAAACTTCATTTGTGATGCACATGCTTGCTTTAGCACTAATTCTTCAAAATCATCTTCCATATAAATTTTTTTGAATACACAAATGGTTAAAATAATAAAATTAAATTATTTTGTTGATTTTTGCAATGTGGATGCGCTTCTACACCAAATAAATACGTTTTTTACTTACTTTTATTCAAATTTAATACTGCCGTTAAAGGTTATTTTATAAATTCATTAAAGACAAAAATAATGTTCTAATGATAAGAAGTGCAGCTGATAAGTTTCTTTTCTGAAATTGATTTATAGCTTCTACAGGCTTTAAAGTGGTTCTGAATAACTTCGATTACTATTAGAAACTTTAATCGACATTTGCATGCTATTGGTTGAAGGCTTTAAACAAATTCAACACAATCGAGACTAGTGCGATCATAATAATGAACTGTTTCTGCTGCAACTTCAAAAAATTGTCTTGTCAAAAAGAACGTATTTTTCAGTGATTCCAGCACTACCCGCTAAAAAATAGAAACAATCAGAACAACAGTCACATGTTTATGATGATTGGATAATTAATCAGAAGAAACAGATAAAAGATTAATTATTTCCGTTACTACATGCTAAGGATTGAAAATAAGGGTTGAAGAAATATTGCTGCAAAATAGTGCCTAGATCTTGTGTTTCTTTGTGCCTTTCGCTTGCGTTGCTTTATAGTTCATTTAAATGTGTGATGAAGTTCAAAGCCTTTATTTGGCATAATTTGAACAATTGATGTTAAACTCTCTGTCATGTGTATAGATGAAACAATTCAACGAATGAAGGTGCTGCAAATGTGATTTGTTTGTGGCTTACATATTATTGGTTTAGGATGAATTTGGGTTGAGACAAGTGATGATCAATGAAGCTGTATGTCAAAACCATTTTCAGGTGTTGAGGCTAATGGAATTTGAGCTTTCAAAAACTTGTGTTGCAGCATCTGCTGGATTCCTTCTTTATAGACATCGTTTCCAAAAAAGTGGATTGTCTTATTTTTATGATAAACCGCCATTTATTTTTTGAATATCTAGTTTTTACTGAGGGGGGTACGTTTTAGAAGTGACACGACCCTCTCTGTTCTCAAAATTTTTGCAATTCCATGGTTGAGTTTTTCAAAATAGTTATCTAATTGACCTTTTAATGTCTTATTAAGCAGAAAAGTAAAGAAAATTGTAATCCAATTTCTGTACAAGTGGAACAACACTGTTTATATTTTTAATCCGTTTTTTTAAGGATTTTTGCTTAACGGAAAAAAATAATTTGAATTTTTCACTAATACTATCATACAAAACATCAAAAATTAAATTCTCAAAATTCTTAATTATTCGATCATTAATCCCAAATATTATGATTTGTATACGAAAAGTAGATGATGCATTAGCTGTTCCGACTATTTTAAAAGCTTTTCCATCATTATTGAGTGATATTTTCGTGACTTTTCAAATTTCATTTTCGATTTTGTTTGTAAACAAACAAATTATAACCGAAAAAATTCAAAAAAGTTAAAACCGTTGAAAAATTCTTAACTTAATTTTGTCCATTTGGGTATGTTAATGCAGCAATTTTGAATTTTTTATAAACTCAAAAAGAACAGAATTGAATTTCGGACCTAAAAAAATACATTTGGAGATATATCAATAAACAACCGTAAACAACAATGAAGATATAGCAAAATTCCCAAAAATTGTACGTGAGTGACGCTCAGTTAAAGTGATTTTTTCGAGTAACTGTAAACTTTCAAGAAGTGAATTGTACAACAATAGATGGGGATTTTAATTCTCTTTTCAAAAAAGTAACTCTTAAATTTGTCACTATTAAGGATAAGGAGATAATCAACAAGAATAACAAAGCGTCACTCACGTACAATTTTTTTGTGACGAGGCCCAAGTAATTGATATTTTAATTCACAACATATACTTTGATTAGAATGTTGATTATGAAAATATAGTAGTAAATGAAGATGGTAATCTGGTTATTATGAAGCGTTTGTTAAGTTAAATTATAGCATTCAAAAGTTTAAAATTTCAACTCATTTTTGATGAATTCAACGCATACATGGAATTGACCAATTTCAAAATTAAAAAAATATTAGAATTTACACAAAATAAAAATTGTTTAGCTAACGTAGTTTAAATGGTAGAGTGAATAAAAGATGACAATGAACGATAATCCTCTAAATTCATTAATTTTACCAATTCTAATACGGCCGATCCTATTACAGGTAAAAATAGAAAAATAGTGAAATTGAATAAATTAATAACTTTTTGCTGATCTTAATTCATGGAAATAGCTTGAAAAGAGAGATGTAGTGGCATCACAGACATTAAGGAACGCATTGACGAAAGCTGAACAAACAAATCCCGGACTTACATATGAATTAGTTAAAGGAATTATTCGTAAGTCAAAAAAAATTATCTTAAAAAGCTTATTAAATTAGCGTATATCCAACTAATGGAGTGTATTTAATTTCAGAAAAAGGGAATTTAAATGTTAATATGTATGAAAGTATTTTAAGACTACAAGGTGCTCAACAACAACAGTCCCAGTCAATATCATCTGATTCATCAGACTGTAAGTTGAACTACTTTTCACCTTACATCCTCTAATTTCTCATCATCATCGTTATATAAATCACAAGTCTTGAAAAATAGTCAATAGTTCAATGAGATGAGCTTCATTATTATGCAAATCAAAAAATTAACTCCAGCAGTGCTAATTTGCATAAACTTGCACTTATGTGCTGTGCTGTTTGCCTCTCGTACTTCCTCTTATTATTTCAATTAAATATTATTTTGCTTAGGTTTGCACTCATGAATCATTTCTGTGCATTAATCACCATCTTATAAGGTGATAACATTTACTTCCATTTCAATGGCAGTTTATGGAATCAAATTGAAGACGAAATTGGACATTTGATTGATCGATTTGATCAAGTTTTTCAACTTTTTCCTCTCTATTCTCTTCTCGTATATCGCATTCTTATGTTGCATTTAACACAATTATATAAATTTCTTTTCTTCTCTCTTTTGCTTGATGTCTCATTTCCGTGCATGCCTTGTTCTTGCATGTCCAGTGATAGAATATAGACTAAACAGAACTGAAGATGCATTCCAAGAATTAAATAAGAAGTCAGCTGCACTCAAACGCATTCTGAGTCGAATCCCAGACGAGATTACAGATCGGCGAACTTTTTTGGAAACTATCAAGTAAGTTGTGCATCTTACCAGATTGATTTAATCATTTACTATATTCTATATAATAATTGCAGAGAAATCGCAAGTGCCATTAAAAAATTGTTGGATGCTGTAAATGAAGTTGTTAGCTTTATCCCGGGGATATCAGGAAAACAGGCAGTAGAACAGCGCAAGAAGGAATTTGTGAAATATTCAAAGAAGTTTAGTACAACTTTGAAGGAGTATTTTAAGGAAGGGCAGGCTGATGCGGTTTTTGTTAGTGCTCTATTTTTGGTTCATGTAACGAATCAGGTAAGATAAGATTAAAAAAGACACATTCCTTTGTTATAATTTTTTAATTAATTAATTGCTTTATTATTGTTTCAGATAATGATAACAGTTAAATCAAAATGTGAATAATAATCGTTTATATCTGAATTTGAAAACGTTTTTTTGGTGAAATTGAATTTAGTTTCTTGATTAAAAAAAAAATTATCAGTTATTACTAAAAACAATACTTATGCTCTAACAAACAATGACTATGCTCATGTGGCTACTTGTTATGCTTTGTAAACATAAATAGCTGTCAAATGAGGACATTCTTTGTCTGGGGTATGTAATGTAAATAAAATTAAAGTATATTATTAATATTAATAAAATAATTGTTGAGTAGATACAATATATGACTATTCTCTTTCAATCTCTCTACGCAGGATTGATATATGGGCATCTAGCTAATCTAATTGCGATTAAAAGTATTTTATATTGGGATTGATATTTTAACGGTTTTCCAAAATTTGAATTATATGTTCAAAAAATGTATTTTGAATACATGAAAGACGTTAAATTTCCAAAAGTTATAACTTCATATATGAGATTTGTATTAACTTAAAAGTGAATTGAACTGTGGCGATTTACATTAAAGCGACTAATCTATTGAATGAAAAGCATTAGAAATAGAAAATGGAAAAAGTATTACTCATTCAAACTGACATCATCATACAATTGCAATAGTCAAGTTATAGATACCCACATAGCAACCCTATTTTAATCCAAAAATTCGTTCAAAAAAGATTCTGCTAGCTGTTCGATCAATTCCTCAAGAAGTGAAATATGAAATGTTAAAATTCACGGAATGGCGATAAAAATTAATTTTATCAATTTATTTCCTAGTTCGTTTATATTTTTTTTTCTCATTACAAATGCTTCAGTTACGAAAAAAAGTTCATTCAATTAATATTATTATTATTATTTTATCAACTAAAAGCCTGTCACACAGTTCATTATTTATGTTTGATCGCGACGATTTTAATTTAGGTTTGACTCTTATCACACTTATAAACACTCACACATAACTGTAATCACATTTAACAACGTTTTGTTTTTGTTTGCAATTATGTCACTAAATCGGTTATCAATAATCATTTAATTAAATTCCTAAAAACAGATTTGAGTTATGATTTGATGTTTGACATCTAATGAATACAATCAATAATGTTTATGCTTCTTATACTTTAAAGCAGTACGCAATAAGCGATTTCAAAATAGAGGAATAAGAAAAAAATATTTTAATAATTGAAAGTCATACTTCCGGCTTTACTTAGCAATGAAAATTTAAATTAGTTCCTCTTTAAGATGTGCTAATACTTTGTGCTTGCTAAAAGTATTAAAAATATAATTTTAGGATTTAATTGTTCCTTGTAAAAATCCTTACAACTCCTCGTTCAATATAGTCGAAAAAAATAAGCAGCAAGCTCCACGGGCTTCTTGGTATAGAAGCCAAAAAATCTTTCTACATTGCCATCGTCGTTGATCGTTTCATAATTAAATCATTATTTGCAAAAGCGACACCTCCAAGAAGGGACACGAGAATGCGATCCAACCATGTTAGTGGATTAGGGTTGATTAGACCATGCTCATAAAATCCTATAAATAAAAATTTTTATAGACTAAATTTCCATTGAATTATAGCATTAAACATACCTAAATGACCTCCGTGTTGTGTTTCAATATACAGCACTTTTGGATGAGATTCTAAAAATGAAAAATATTAGTCATTAGTTATGGCATTTTTCAGTTCCAATGAGGTCATGCTTTTGTAAATATAAAACTATTTTTGCAATTTTTATTCTAGAGTGACGCAACAGAATTTTAACGAATCAGCATTATTTAAATTTCATGGATTCAATTTAGTGTTTACACATGTCAGTTTATTTATGACACATGTTTAATAATTTAGTCAACATACATTATAAAAATTTGGAAAATTCAAAAAAATGAGCAGACATAAAATGAGTCATTGATAACGTCAAAATTTTTACAAATGTTAAATCACTTTCGATGAGTTTTGAGCGAGAAAAGAAAAAAATTATATTTGAAAGAAGTCCTCGCAATTAAACTACCTAGTTACTATTAGAAAAAACAAAAGTAATTACCAGCAAATTCACGTATTGGCCTCAGTAGAATTTCGGGTACGAGCGGATCATCCATGCTGTTAATGAAGATAATTGGTTTTTCAATGTTCTTCAAATAATTAATGCAACTACTCCAAGAATACAGCTCTTTTGTTGAGGGAAAGTTGTGAATTTTGCACGTATATGCTTCGTCCAAGTCTGGAAGCGTAGCGGCACCAATAATCTCTCTTTCGTTCAAATTGTACTTTCGTTTGACTTCATCAGCCATTAATACATTTCGGTGCTTCATGATAATACTTTTAACATTTTCAGTGAGTACATACAAATAAAATCGTTGGAAATTTTGCCACTTCAATAAGCATGTGGTTGCCGTATTTGCATCATAACCTTGACAAATTGATACAGCACCAATAATATTTGAAGGCTTTGGGACATTAATTTCGCCGAGATATTTTGTCACCAAATTACCACCTAGGCTAAATCCAACGGAAATAATATGTGTTGATGGGAATTTCTTAACTAGACTTGTAATCATAGCTGCATAGTCATCTGTATGTCCATAAGTAAAGATTCTTGGACTTGTGACATTAATTGAGTCAATTACTCCTATATGATTGAGCACGGCAATTCTGTAGCCATGACATTGAGCATAGTGAACAAACGTGCGAATGTAAACACTCTCCGATGAATTTCCAACTCCTGGGCATACTGCAACAGTTATGTCCTCATCATGACTTAAATTTAATGGTTGATATAAATCGTATGTGAGTGTCGAACCGTCTGGCATTGATATGTAAATTCGATCTCCCAAAGGCCATGGGCACTTTACTCTTCCAATCAAGCTCTGCAGAATCGTTTGAACATGCCCAGAGAATCCCCATAATCGTGTCGGAATATAGCTGAAAAAGACAAATTATCATTTATTAATTCTGAGGATTATAGACGAGATAATAGAATATTTGTTAATGTAGGGCAATCATCTGCTATGCTGATTAATGAACTCGGAAATTAAATGTGCTTTATATATATTTTTGTAAATTATTCATAATCACATCAAGCTGATCGCACGAAAAGTTGACAACAGTTAACTTAACAAATACAGCTATGACATGAATAAAAAAAAATTAATCATCAGCCCATACAGCAACAAAATAAATGGAATTTAATCGATTAAATATATAAAAGTGTATCAAAGACGTTGTAACAGTTTTGAGCATCAAATAGTCCAAACTTAGATCAACTGAATGAACAGAGAAAGTGACGACTAAAAACAAAATTGAAAAAATATCGGCTTTAAAAAATACAAAAATGATAACCCTCCGAAATTTCTTTAAAACAACACAGCAGTTTACAACATTCATAACGTTCTAATTAAATCAAGAAGACAGAATGAACAAAATACTATGGACCTTGACTTTTCAATAAAATGCACTCAAAAAATCTCACATACTCTAAAAGCCCGACTATGAAAATTTTACATGAAAAAGTGGGAAGACAAAAAAAAAAGAAACAAAAAATCAATTCAAAAATTTTCCATAAATTATTTTAATGTCGAAGTATTTCTTAGTGCGATTAATTTTTTTAGATTCTCTCATGCAGCTGATGCATTATGATTTAAAATGCAATTTAAAGTATTTTTGGTTTTGATCATAGTAGGCTATTTTCAAAAAAATATCGATTTTATATCTAAATTAGTATTCTTTATCATCCATAATATCTAGATATAATTTAAAATGCATTTTAAATCATTTTTGGTTTTGATCATAGTAGGCTATTTTCAAAAAAATTTCGATTTAATATCTAAATTAGCATTCTTTATCATTTATAATACCTAGATATGTTTTAAAATGCAATTTGAAGCAATTTTGGTTTTGATCATAGTAGCTATTTTCAAAAAAAATTCGATTTTATATCTATATTAGCATTCTATATCATTTATAATACCTAGATATGTTTAAAATGCAATTTAAAGCATTTTTGGTTTTGATTATAGTAGGCTATTTTCAAAAAAATTTCGATTTTATGTCTAAATTAGCATTCTTTATCATTTATAATATCTAGATATAATTTAAAATGCAATTTAAAGCAATTTTGGTTTTGATCATAGTAGCTATTTTCAAAAAAATATCGATTTTATATCTATATTAGCATTCTATATCATTTATAATACCTAGATATGTTTTGAAATGCAATTTAAAGCAATTTTGGTTTTGATCATAGTAGGCTATTTTCAAAAAAAATTCGATTTTATATCTATGTTAGCATTCTTTATCATTTATAATACCTAGATATGTTTAAAATGCATTTTAAAGCATTTTTGGTTTTGATTATAGTAGGCTATTTTCAAAAAAATTTCGATTTTATATCTAAATTAGTATTTCTTATCATCTATAATATCTAGATATGATTTAAAATGCAATTTAAAGCAATTTTGGTTTTGATTATAGTAGGCTATTTTCAAAAAAAATTCGATTTTATATCTATATTAGCATTCTTTATCATTTATAATACCTAGATATGTTTTAAAATGCAATTTAAAGCATTTTTGGTTTTGATCATAGTAGGCTATTTTCAAAAAAATATCGATTTTATATCTAAATTAGTATTCTTTATCATCTATAATATCTAGATATGATTTAAAATGCAATTTAAAGCAATTTTGGTTTTCAAAATTCGATTTTATATCTATATTAGCATTTGTTATCATTTATAATACCTAGTAATGATTTAAAATGCAATTTAAAGCAATTTTGGTTTTGATCATAGTAGCCTATTTTCAAAAAAAAATTCGATTTAATATCTATATTAGCTTTCTTTATCATTTATAATACCTAGATATGTTTTAAAATGCAATTTAAAGCATTTTTGGTTTTGATTATAGTAGGCTATTTTCAAAAAAATTTCGATTTAATATTTATATTAGCATTCTTTATCATTTATAATACCTAGATATGTTTTAAAATGCAATTTAAAGCAATTTTGGTTTTCATTATACAAGGCTATTCTCAAAAAAATTTTGATTTAATATCTAAATTAGCATTCTTTATCATTTATAATACCTAGATATGTTTTAAAATGCAATTTAAAGCATTTTTGGTTTTGATTATAGTAGGCTATTTTCAAAAAAATATTGATTTAATATTTATATTAGCATTCTTTATCATTTATAATACCTAGATATGTTTTAAAATGCAATTTAAAGCATTTTTGGTTTTCATTATAGTAGGCTTTTTTCAAAAAAATTCGATTTTATATCTAAATTAGCATTCTTTATCATTTATAATACCCAGATATGATATAAAATGCAATTTAAAGCATTTTTGGTTTTGATTATAGTAGGCTATTTTCAAAAAAAATCGATTTTATATCTATATTAGCATTCTTTATCATTTATTATACCTAGATATGTTTTAAAATGCAATTTAAAACTGACTTGCATACTATAAATGTGTCGCAACATTTTCGAATAGAGGAATTAAACTTATTTTAGGAACGAATGGCTTTGTTTGAATAAAATATTCATTATCTGCCAAGAATTACTCTTAAAAAATTCAATTTTACTGGTTTTTATAATTTTTGATTTTTTTTTTTCAAGCTTAAAAACGAAACACAATGATTCAGATTTGGAAAAAATGTTCAAAAATTCCTTGTGCACAATATTTTTCCAACACATTAGAAAATTGAAAGTTTTTGTTAATTTCTCTTGATTTGAATCTTTTAGCATCATCTACATAATGTTTTCGTTCATTGCTCAAAAAATTAGTCCCTAATATAAAGGATAAACATGATTTTTTACCAAAAGTTTGTAAAAGTTTATCAAAAAATATTGTGCATGATCAAATTTTGTATGAAAATTTATGTAAACTTTGATCGCAAATATCTCGAAAACGGCATCAAACGGCATGTCCTCAGTAATATGGGAGATAGATTTTAACTTAATTAATGGATTTATATAGGTTTCAGAGAGGTCTTTGGAAGACTTTTTAACTTATGAATAGTTTAAGTAGTGTAAAAATACTCAGATTTCAATTCCATTTTTAAGGCTTAATACGCAGATTTCTATTGAGTTGGTTGTTTTAGTATGTAAAGCTAAGCTTAAATTAGCTAGTAACTGCTTCCAAGACATCCAAATAACAACTTAAAGTAGAAAAAATCATATTTTTTTTTTCATACACAAATTGTAAACAAATTTTGGGTGAGATTAAATTAATGATTTCTGGAGTTAGACATCAAATTGGGACGAGATATTTTCATAGGATATGCCTCAAGTTAAGATCTTTAATCTGGCATTTAAAGGACATAGTTTAATTAACATGAAATTTTTGAATTTTTGAACATTTTTTTCGATTCTGAATCATTGTGCGAAAGTGAAATATGAAGAATCGACAAAAACAGCTGAAATGCTAGATATTGCATAATTGCATGCCTTTTTCATGACAATTGTATAAAATTCGCGATTAATCATTAATTTACCAAGGAGTTAAATGAAGCTGATTGTCTTTGTATGTGTTAGTAAGTTGTGGAATACATAAAATTCAAATATAAAATTTACGTTAAAAATAAATTTGCATTGTCCATTTAACTTTAATTCTGGAGAATTAAATCACAATGAAACATGTGATGGTAATAAAATGATTAATATTAAAAAAGATCCAATTAGCATTCATGGTGTCTGATCTTTGTTAATCATTTTAGGCAATTGAAGATGTATAGCAACACAAACTAGTGCGAAACTTTTTGATGGTTTCCTATTATAAAAAAGTGTCATGCCATTAAGAATATAATAGATTGTTTCCGATTAAACCACAAAAGATAATGTTCGGCATGGCGAGCGAAGAAATAATTGGGTAGAGCTGTAATGCATGACTCGGGACATAAGCTGTGTGCTTTGTATTTAAACAATATAGTTTCTCAAAAAAAAATATGTTCCATGCAATTTTTGCCAGCTTGCCGATTTCAATGCATGAATTATTAATTAAAAGCTCAGCATTAACTGGATAGAAATCGCTCATTACTTGAATGATAATAACAAACTTTCGTGTATTAATTAAGTTCTGCATGCAAAAGACAATGGCAAATGGTCAATTTAGAATGCATGAATGCATTAATCACGCAATATTGTTTGACAACAAAAAGATATCACGACAATCGGTTCCATAAGTTATTTTTTTATGTATGCCTATTTATCGATTTTCACAATTATTTTCTAAAAACATTCTAGAAACTTCCAATTTTTCTTCTTTTTCACACATTTGGTTGACAGCGATCATATCTCAACTGAGTGTTATGACTAATGCTCGAGTCTGCTAAATCAAATTGGACTTTGAACTCATCGCGCCGGTAACATGAAAATAAATTATCACCGGTTGAAGAAGAAATCTATTTTAAGGCATTTATAATTCAACATTTATTTTCATTGACTCTATTTTATGTTTTATGCATTAAAATTTATGAAATGATTACAAAAAAAAAAATATTAAATTAATTTGAAGCAAAACATGATCCAGAGAGCTTACTCTGCACAGCTTGAGATCTCAAAATTTTACAATTATTTTATTGATTTTTTTAAGGAGTAATGTTTTCGAACTGATTGAAAATTTTCCAAAATAAGATCGCAATAAGCTTTTTCCATAGAGCGAAAAATTTTCATTTTTTTTCACACAATTCACTGTAATTAGAAGCTGTTATAATACTCACTTTTCCGATAATTCACTACTGCAAATTTTCATAATTCTGTCCTTAAATAATTCATCCTTGCAATAAAGTTTTGGTTTTTGTGGACTCGAATTAACATTTAATAATTTAAATATTATAATAAATATTATAGCCAAACAAGCTAGGAACGTCGTAGACATTTTATTATTTGATTTGACTGCTTTTAAATAATTTTATAAAATTACTAATTAATCGAATGAATATACTGCGAATAATACAAACAAAAGACTGCCGAGATCACACAATAAATTTGAGAATTTAATACAGTCTTCTTGGATATTATATTCACACCGTTAAATGATTGGGGGGTAAAATCCCCGAAAGATATTAATTCCACGATCCTGCGAGATAATAACCCCGAATAACGCAAATTTTTATATGTTTCCTACTTATCCTTCCGGGAAGATAATAATCCCACGTGTAATTACAACTCCCAGGGAGATAATAATTTCACTTTCATTTCTAAGTGGGATTATTATCTTTATGGAACACGATTAAAATTATGTATTAAATTAAATCCAAAAACTTATTTGTCATAGTGGATAATAATTCCACTTGTATTATCTAATAGGATTTTAATCCAAAAATAATCTCACTTATTAATTTGAAAATTTTATTATTTCAATAAATTAAATAAGAAGAAAACATAAATAGGTATTGGATGAATGTTCGCTATTTAAAACATGTTATTCCAAATTGTTTTAAAAAATAAAATCAAGGTGGGTTCAATAGTTATTTTCTAAAACATCAAGCCAATTTAAATCGAAATCAGATTAATAATGAGTTTATTGAATCGAGTTATCTCGATGGATGTTTAATGTATCACAGCTATGACACGGCTCTAGCTTCTAATAGTAAATGAATAAAACAATAATAAGAATAATAATCTACAATTCAATTCTTTGACATGAAATTGGTGTAAGCCTGTCCATATAAACAGACAATTTTTTTGTAAGTATTTCTCGCTGAACATTTTTAAATTTCTCAGTCGAAGAAAAATAGGTTATTTTTATCAAGGTTCCGAATATGGGCAATTCTTTGGATGAGTGTGATTCGAAAAAATGAGCTTTCATAATTCAAAATCAATGAGTTATGTTTTAAAATATTGTATTTTTTCACGGATTACGACGAAAAAAAGCTTTTTAATAACTCGATGTCACATGATATTTTTTGGATGAATTGAAATATTTCATTAATCAATGACTTAAATCCTACAGAAAAGCAACTAAATTGTAAATTTTTGTATGTTTTACAACTCAGCAGTTGTTATGCAATACTAATTATATTATTATAACATCGATTAGAACCATAAAATCAGAATAAAATTAATGGGCAAAATTAATTAAATTTCGTTTTCCTGCTGAAAATTTTCCAAAAGTCATCCAAAGAATTGTTGTGTAAACAAAGACATTTTGCTAAGAAAACTATAAAAGATTTTAGTATATACAGCACGTTAATTTAAAATTTGGTGCTCAAATTCTTAGGATCTATACATTAATTTAACTATAATTTTATAAGGATGACAGTTCTTAAAACCCCAAAAAGGTTTCCAATGGTTTTAGACCATTTAAGAGATTCGATTGTTTATAATCTCGAAATTTTGAAATTATTCTGCTTATTCAGGGTCACTTGAACAAACTGATGGACATAAAACTATTGAAAATGTTCATCAAAGAATTAAATTGATTTGCAGGGTAAGGGAACTAAATGAAATGATCGGTTCCACAAAAAAAAATTTTGTTTCAGGATGTTATTCCTTGATTAAAAAGAAACAAAAAAAATTTTTTGGATGTAAAGGAACTGGGCAGTTCCAGTGTCTAATCATACCTTTGGCTAAGAAACACAAACGTACACCTCTTTGACAATGAAAACTTATCAAAAAACTTTTTAAAGGGACTGGAAGTGACTAGTTCCTCACATGGTGCAAGATCCATTCATGATTTATCATGTACAGCTATACCAACATCTGCATACTTAAGCAACAAGACACAGAAAATGAAAACTCATGAACTAAACCATGGAATCAATGGTTGCTATCATTTTTCCATTACCAGAAAGGATATCCATGATTAATGATTAATGATTTGTAATAATCATCTGAAAAATTCCAAACAAATTTTCACCTTCAAGTGATTTAAAATCCCAAAAATATCCCCATACAATGTGATTTAAATCAAAAATAATTTTTCAAATCATTGCAAAATGATTTTGATTTATAATTTAAATCTTCACCTTGGTGATTTGTACAAAATTCAAAAGTAATATTTTGTAAATTCTTTCAAACTTGAGCTCTTTTAAAGAAAAGGTTAAAAGAAAACCTGTAAGAAACTAGTGTATCGGGTAGAAACCCAATGCGGATATATTCACACCGTACCATCAAAAGTCTTATGGAAAGACCAAGATTTGCTCAGTATTAATTTTTAAGTATAAATCTTGACGAACTAGTTGAGCTGCGCTCAGCATATTATTGGAGGTATAAAGCTTGACGAGTCAGCTAAGCTTCTCTCAGGATATATTTGTAAACTATATGTTTGACGGTATAAAAATAAACGAACATTCTTTAAAAGGATTTAAAAAAATTTTTCATCAAAAGTTTAATTTTATAAAAATGATAGTAAACTTTGTTTATTAAAATTCTTAAGAAAGGAAGGTTTTTGCTTTTTTTGAATCAACAGCTGTTCCTACCTTGCCCCAAAACAATACAGTTCTTCTATAGAGCAGCACGGATCAAATGTAGAAAACCAGAAGTCTTTACAATTTCTCGTTATTGAGATTTCTTGCTCATTAACTTGCATGCTTGTTTCCTTGCTTACAGAAAGCGTATTTTGCGTTTTTCTCAGCAATGCCGCAATCAATTTAAAATCTTTTTGCTGCTTTAAAAAGAATAAGGCTTTATTTTTTTTATTGGGTAAGGCAGAAACAGCCATTGCTTTCAAAAAGCAAAAAAACCTGCATCCTCTATGATCAGTCTCACGTGAATTCAAATTTTTCCAATGATAAAAATGATAAAAACGTGATTTATTAGTTCCGCACGTTTTTAATTTTGTTAGACTTCATTTCAAAACGATTTGCAAAAACAACTAGTGTATCGGGTAGAAACCCAATGCGGATTATATTCACACCGTACTATCATAAGTCTTATGGATAGACCAAGATTTGCCCATCATAAGTATGAAGGTATGAAGCTTGATAAGTCAACTAAGCTTCGCTCAGCATAAGTTTGAAGTTATAAAGCTATCGCGTAAGCTGAGCTACGCTCAGCATAAGTTTGAAGATATGCTAGAGAGGCAGTGGAGCTTCGCTCAGCATAAGTTGAAGTTATAAAGCTATCGCGTAAGCTGAGCTACCCTCAGCATAAGTTTGAAGGTATAAAGCTTGACGAATATGCCAAATATTCTTTAAAAGTTTTTTAAAAAAAATTTTCATCCAAAGTTGAATTTTATAAAAATCACAGTCAACTTTTGTTTTAAAAAATTCGTAAGAAAGGAAAGTTTTTGGCCATTTCTGAAGCAACGGCTGTTCCTACCTTGCCCAAAAACAATACAGCTCTTCTATAGAGCAGCACGGATCAAATGTAAAAAACTTGAAGTCTCTACGATGTCTCGTTATTGAGATTTCTTGCTGATTAACTTGCTTGCTTGCTTGTTTGCTTACAGAAAGCGTATTTTGCGATTTTCTCAGCAATGCCACAACCAATTTGAAATCTGTTTTTTGAAAATGATGTAAAATTTCAGGCACAAACTTTTCTTCTGCCCTTTTATAACCAATTTTGCTTTGTTTTCTCACAAAATGCGAAAAACTGATTTTTCAATCTGAACAAAACCAATAGATTCACACGTGAAAACGGTGTGAATATAAAAATGATTTCTTGAATGAATAGATATATCATCTTTAACATCTAGGCATTAGACTTTTAGACTCATTTTTCAAAAGAGAGCAATGGATTTCCAGGAATTTCTATTGTTCTTTTCTTGCTGCACCCCCCCCCCCCCCCCCCCCGGGACGTCATAAGTGAAAATCCTATTAGATAATAAATCCACTTATTAATACAAGTGGAATTATTATCCACTATGTCAAATAAGTTTTGGGATTTAATTTAATCCATAATTTTAATCGTGTTCCAGAATAATCCCATTTAGAAATGTAAGTGAAATTATTATCTCCCTGAGAGATTTGTAATTATAGGTGGGATTATTATCTTCCAGGAAGGATAATAATTCCACGTGTATTTCTAAGTGAGAATATTATCTCGTTTTACATTTACCCCCCCCCCCCCCCCCCCTCGTGGAATATTTCAAACGCTGTTTGCAATGAAACTTACATAATTTATAAATCATGAAATACCATTTCTGATATATTTTCCAAGAAAACCATCGGTGTGGATGCATTTCAAAAGACTTACTACCTTAACAACTGTTTTTAAATTTTAAGTTACTATTCCAGTGGAAGGTTACACTGTAAAACATAAGTTTTGATAGTAGGAATTCTTAACAGTGTAGACTTTTTTGTTTACAGTAGATAATTTTTTGATTAAAATCAAAAATAACTTAATTCACGTGCATTTTATTAATAACGGCTACATCATTAAGTCCGCAAAGATGGTATTTCATATACCAGAGGCATTGACTGAGGAGGAACAAATGCTAATGGCAAAATATGCCAAATTAAAGAAAAAGGTAAACACAAATAATATTTGCAGCATAATTAACTCAATCAATTGTCAATCTCCTTGATAGAAAAAGCAAGTTCAAGCACTTAAACTCAAACCGGAACCGGAAAAGCCTTTACTTTTTTCGAAGCGACCAAAAGACGCAAAAGATGCTAAGGAAGTTGCACGTAAATTGATTAAATCAGGCAACATAAATCTCCCGAAGAATGATACACTGAATGAAGTGAAATTCAAAAGACCAAACTTTTCACAGGACAGGAAAAAGGCACAAACCATCGAAACAACAAATTATCATCCTTATTCATCAACAGATCAAGAAGAGAATGCATCAAAATCCCCATTACCTGGAATTGAAAAAACGGAACCACCAAGCAATAGATCCATTTCATTTCTTTATCAACAAATTGTTCAAGAAAAGGAACCGACTGAGACGAAAAAGCAAAGTCCACAACAAAAGGATAAACCTAAAACTGGGTTTACAGTTTATGTGTCAGGCAAAGCGATTAGTGAGGACTTTTTGAAGAAGCACTTTAGCGAGTACGGTACTATTGTAAATGTCTCAATGGAAATTGAAAAAGGACGTGGCTTTATTACATTCTCAAAAACAGAAGCAACTTCTAATGCCATTACTGAGGTAATATCCAGTATATCCTTGAAATAGTAGCTTGATAAACATAATTAATATATTTTTAGATGCACGGAAAGATCATTGAAGGAATCCAGCTAACAGTATCTCTTGCAAGGAAGCAGCCACAAATTGAGCCAATAAATGACGCGTCATCCTCAGCAGTCTGGTCAACATTGGCAACAAGTCAGAGTCAGAAAGGAAATCACAAGGACAAACGTGAATTAGTCGTGTATGACGACGTTTTTGCATAAAGTTTATGAATGTAATTTAAATAATACAGAAAAATTTCAACACAATGATACTTTTCTAATTGTTTATATACATAAACCTTACCTTAACAGGCATAGAGCATGCTTTTGACTTGTGAGCATGTTTGAGCATCTTTATTTTTTCGTATAAAAATGATTGTCAAGCATATATAATTCTAATTTTAGCATTTTGAAACCATTCATAAGAGTGTGCTCACATTAGCTTTAATTAAGCATGCTCAGAAGATTTACACTATGTTTGTTAGGATTGCAGACACTTGATGCCGTGCAATTTAGTCGGTCAGAACTAGAAACGATACAGCTGACTTTTTGTTGTTGGCTTTTTTTTTCATATGATTCTTTTTTCGGCATCCACTGCTCAGTTTGGTTTCGATTCAATTCGAGTGTACATTTACGCTTACTTTTGTTCCTTTTTGAATTTTTCAAGGTGAAGAAAATTTCTTATCATTGAATCAATTTCTTTATATGCTAATGTGGCTTTGTGCAATATCGATTAAATAATAATCTCTAATTTTTCGACTTTGATGTGTATTAAATTGGTCAAAGTATATTTACGGAAACGAGAAAATAAGAAAATTGAATTTCCGTTTAGTGAGTAAATTATTTACTATTTCATCATTTGTATCCCGCATAATTTTTTTTTTAATTCTTCTATTGAAATACAAGCGACGTCAATAAATAAATAAAGATGTTGAAAGAAAAATGATAACACTCTTTCTTTCGCTTACTCCTTGCCTGACGTTCATTTCACATAATATTCAGTTTCAGTCAGCGTTGCTAGCTTGAAGTTTGAACTGGTCAGATTTTTTTTTTTTGGATAAAAATTTCTTATCACAAAAAATAAAATATTTTGCAATGCACTGACAAGATAACAACGCTGACATGAGTAGATTGAGTCATTAGGAGTTATCGCATACAAAATTAAGCAGAAAAAAATATAAAAATTGTGAATGAGAATAGCGCATTTATTACGGACAGTGATTAAAGATAATATCAAGTCAGAGACATTAAGAGTCGTAAAAATGAATACAAATTAAGACATGAAATTTAATGTGAGAATATAATAGAGCATAATATAATCAAAATTATGAATCCAGTGACACAAAAAAAAGACATTTAGTTCAATGGTCTGAAATATCACAGTGCAATTTATTATAATCTTCTGAATTCATTCACGCAAACTAGAACAGGTTTTCTCATTATTTATTAAAATCTGGAGATTTTTTTTTGTTTCATTTTTTTTTTAAATCAAGATTGATTAGTTTATTTATGAAATGGCAGGATTAGTTTGTTATGACTACTTTTTCGAGGACTTAAAATTACATGAGATACTGTAGAAATCATTTATAAATGATGTTTGACGTCAAATGGCTTATAGTAGATCCTTTTAACGTATATTTTAATTTTAAATTAACCTTTAAGAAGTTTTCCCATTTGAGATGTTTTAGAAAGTTTTCATCCCCTCTGAAGTTCCAAATTCTATGAAAATCAAGCCAAAAATTTTAATTTAATTATTAGAAATAGTTTATTGCTTGTTAGCTAATGTAAAGTCATGCACAATATTTTAAAGAGCTCAATACATAAATAATTCAAAAGTTTAAGCTTGATTCATCCTAAATGAAGCAAAAAATCAAATTTTCCAAGATTTTAACTGAGTTTTCTTCCTTCACAAGATTCAATCTCAATTCTATTGTAGTATTTTTCCAGTCATTACTTTTCCGCTCACAACCAATTGAATGAATGACTCAAATACTTGAATGAATAATGTCAAATTTATCAAAAAATTTACGCATGTATAGGGAATGAAAATAAAGGTGTAGTACTTGACGCATTTTAGCGACAAAAATAAAGTATGATATAAAATAAAAGTAGTGCTAAAATATGAAAGATAATAACCATCAATTCAATCATCATTCATCACTCTTTCACTTGCGTTATCTTTCTACTAAAACAACACGATCATAAAATATATAGACGTATATATTTCAATTTAAAAATAAAACCATTACTCTTTCCCATCTTTACATATCACTCAGTCCTGTCGCGAAATCCACGAATCTTCCTACGTAATTATTAATAAATAAAAATAAAAAAAAAAAATTGAGAAAAGGAACAAGAAGATGAAATAGGCAACAAAATATGTATATTTATAAATATTCGTACTGCTTTAAGTGGCTTTTACAACATCGTTCATGTTACCGTGTGTAAGAATGTGACGCGAAATGTATGAGAAGAAAAATTAAATTATTTATTTATATTCCGATTTTTTTTCTCCTCTCATCCTCTTTTATATTCTATTCATCTCGCCTTTCATACTTTTCTTTATGTTGAGGTTTACGCGATGAATTCAAATTACTTTGACTGACTCGACGAAGAAATCCTTACAAATGCAAAATTATCATCATTTTCATTTTCTATAGTATAATTACATGGGAGAAGCAACAAGTGACATGTGCGCATGTATTTATTACCCTACTTTGTGAATACACTGACAATAGCTGATGTTTCATTGCTCCTTCAAAGAAAATTATCGTGACTTGATTTCTTTTTCATAGCTTTTTCTTTCCACAGGGGTCGAGTATCTTAAAGTTTTGCTTAACAAATTGTGTCCTATCGAGAATTCTTCCCTGTGCTCAGCTTGTTCTTCCATTCAGAATCCTTCAAGTCATTCCAATTAGCAAACAAAAGAAAGTAAAAGATCGACCATAAATCACTTTCTTATTATGATATTTATAGATTTCATGTAAGTGTCTCACTCTTTTCAAACTTTTTTGTGTGCGATTGAACAACTATAAAGGTACAAAAAAGTAAGCGCCGTCAGACATGAAACTCATCAATCATTTTTCTTTTCTTCGATGCCTTTTACATTGATGATAGTGATTCCTATTAGTGTTCATAGAAAGTCGCACAGCGATTTATAAGAAAGATAAGGTGTTTATTTTTATGTAATTTAATCCTTAATGGGGTCCAAAATGTTTATTTTTTTGGGTTTTTCCAATGAGTCGATTTTCTGAAAATAATTTGAACTTGATGTCGTGTTTTAAGTTTTCTATTAAGAATCATAGTATAATGAGATGTTGTGAGAGGAATGTAATGTTTTCGACAAGATTTTCATCAGGACTTTTCTAATAAATGTCAGTAAGCTTTAAGGCTAATCTTCATTCATTTCCTACTGTTTGCTTAGAATTTCCCAAGAGAATAATTTGCTCTTGTTTGAACTTTAACACAGCCTTAAACCATCCCTCTCCTCCTTAAGATCTTTTAATCCCTTAAAAGATGTCGTGTGAAAGCTCAATTCTGCTCAAATGTAAAGATTATAAATCAATAAAATCAACTCCTAAGCAATGTCACACTGAACTTTTTTTTATGTCTGTTAGATCTGACCATCTTAGATTCGAAGTAAGAACTTCAAATCCCATTTTATAAAAATCTAGTCAGCTAGTCTATATGAAGAACCTAGTCTATCTTCTCTTTGTGTTTTTCTGAGATTCACAAACAATAAAAAAAATCAAAATATTGTTTCAAAAGACGCTCTCAGACTATAATAATTATTATCCCGGAAGAGAATGAAAGCCAATCAATTCGAGTAATTAAGTTATAATAGCCGTCATTTGTATCTTGCGTACTGTCAAATTACAAAAAGGCGAAAGAAGATGAACAAATTGAAAATGATGAAATGAATATTTCATGCAGCAGCCTCTAATACAGAAATTTAAGAAATAAGTCAAGTATAATCCTCAAGATGCATAAAGAAAATTTAATATATTTTTAATGAAATTTTCTCAAAAAAAAGTATAATTACCAAAAATTTTCTTTTCAATTTGGCAACAATGATACACTAAATAGAGATTGCCAGCACGCGCTCGTTGATTTTACTAAATGTTTTATGATCGAAGGAATATGATATACTTTTAAAATTACATCTTCTGCTCTTCTACATGCTATATCATGTTTAAAATGAAATTTTACTACACTTATGAGTTTTTATTGAAAAGTTTATTAATTCATAAATTTTATTTTTTCATATAAATTCATATTTTGATGTATAATGAGAGTCGGTAATTGAATGAAAGCCATTCAAGTGTATGAAGTACAAGCATTTTGCCTCAATCAAGAGCGATTTTCCATTTCATTCATAAATCAAATAATTTTTTATGAAACATAAACATTTTTCGTACATTTTTGCGTGGTATTATTTTAAGTTCAACTTAACTGCTTACAGTCAAGGTTAAATAAGTGGTCAATAATAATTATGCCACCTAAGAGGAATGCGATGAGGGAAACACTTTCGTTTCTCAGACGATTTTTTTGAGCCTCTTTTTAGAAATGTCTAATGGCTGCGATTGGTTTGACTATCTATGCCTTTACGAATGCTCTTCATATAACCACATTCTAGTCAGAAGGAAAAATTTAAATTTATAACGTATTTTAAAAAGTTGCTAACTTGACTTGTGTCTTGGATAACAAATTCAAATGCTTCTCGAATAGCAAAAGTTCAAATAAATGTCGACAAAAAATATGTCTTGGATATTAAAAAATTCAAATTCTTAACCGTCTAAATGTGTCTTTACTAAAATAATCCAAATCCTTCGAATTTAATATTTAAATGGATGTCCATAAATGCGCTTTTTTCACAATTTTCATTCAACAAACTCGCTTGAACACATTTATTACAATTTCCTATCCTTTGATCAGAAGTAGAAAACAAAATAATTGAAAGACTTGTACTAAAATTAAATTCCTATTAAATTTCAGCTGTTATTTTATTCCAATCTATCTTGATCTGTTTCTGTGCTATGGTAAAAGTGACCCCAACACAATTTTCTTCATCCCGCGCTCTCTCTGCCTGCCTGCCTCATTGACTTTGTAATCGAGCTGTTAATATTCTAATTTTCAGTCCTCTGACTTGACTGGCTCTCCTTCTCTACTCACTCACATTGAAAGTGCTCAATTTGAATTTACACGAAAGCGACAACGTTTTGAGTCAAAAACACTGACGATAATAAGAAAGAACAAAAAGAAAAAAAAAGGAATAAGAAGTGTGGGCCAAAGAGAGGCGCGCAAAGTGAAAATTATTGCAAAAACAATGAAGGAAAAATAAATAATGCATGAATTGAAATTAAGCTAAAGCGGGTATTTGAATTTTCAATCATTCATTGCTACCCCTTTTTCGTTCGTTTAGTAAGAAACTAGACGTCTTTAAGTGCGCACATGAAATGGGAACAATTTTACATGAAATCCCTGAAGATCCAAATGAAGATGAAAAATCAGCAAAATCAATCGACGCAACGCCGTATGAGAAAGTTCTATCAATTGTACATGATCCAAAGTACATGCACGAAATTGGTCTATCGAGAATCGGACTATACAAGTTTTGTGGTGATATAGGAAAAGGAAATTTTTCGCGAGTTAAAAAAGCTGTGCATTTATTAACAAAAGGTATCTAATTAGTTTGAGAATTTAAAAACATTCCTTCATATTGATTGATGAAATGTTTGTGTTATTGTCTTTTGAAAATGTGTGAAAAATTTATGTGAAAATTAAAATCGTATGATTTTCCCACAAATTAGAATATCTCACTGGCTCAGATCTCAATTAGCACGTTTAATTTAGCTTGGATATTTTTTTTTTCTCTTTCTTGTGATGGATCTAATTTTAGATTTAAACTCCATTGCGTTTCTTGCTATAAAAAGAATATTTGATTTTAAGTTGATAATTTTTTATCAATCTTTTTGGTGCTTTGACATGTGAATCGAATGGTGAAATATTGTTGATTGGAAGTCAAATCATTTGTGCGAAATTGTTGGGATTGTTTTTTTTTGAATTAACTTGATAATTGTTAAAGAAAAGAAGATTTAGTTGATTATAAAGTTTTGGGTTTGAAGAGTTGCAAAAAAGATTTTGAATTCACAGTTTTAAAACCGAAAATCATTCAAATGTTAAGAAAATATAATATATTATTGGATTTGTAAGGTTTAGAAATAATTTTATGTTTCTGAACAACTTTTTAAACAATTGAAGGTTTTGAACAGTTTAAAAAAACTTTTAAACGAATTTTTAGGGTTTTTGATTTGAGGAATAAGTTTAAAAAACTCGAACATAATACAAATGATCATAAATTTCAAAATCTCGCGATGAAAATTTCACACAGTAGATTCAAGTAAATTTATAGACACGAAAATTCGAAATAATTCACCACAATTTAACTCACAGTTGTGACTTGAATTATGCCAAGAATTTTACGACTGTTTATTCCGCATTATTACACATATATTAAATACGTTTAATTGTCTATTTTTTTATTATATTTTATTTAAAAAGATAAAGTTGCTATTAAAATAGTTGATCGCTCACGATTAGACTCTAAAAATTTGCGAATGCTATCAAGAGAAGTATCAACATTGGAATGTGTCCAACATCCTTATATTTTAAGACTATTTGAAGGTAATTTATATTAAATTATAAGTTTTTTAATTTTAAACATTCATATTTTCAAAAAAAAAAAACATTTGCGGCTGTTCAAAATTATTCTATTGTCTCCGGATGAGCGCTTGTAGCGTTGCCTGAGGTCTTTAAAAACTTGTATACATTTCTTTGAACATATTCAAAGATAAACAAGATTTAAAAAGTTATGGCAGCATAAATTTTAACAAGCGCATATCCAATGAAATCGATAATGGAATAAACAATACGAAAAATTATCGTACATTTTAATTAAAATTGCTATATTTCACTTTTTTTTTGAAATTCAAATGTTCTGTAATTTTTCATATTTCCACCAGACTTATGAAAATGTGAATGTGCTCATAAAAATTACTTTCATGTTTCACTTTTATTTCATACACAAACATTCAGTGGTTGAAACACTCGGTCGAGTTCATTTGATTACGGAATATATTCCTGGGGGTGAGCTGTATTACAAAATTGTCCAAAATGGAATTTATAGTGAAGATAAAGCTTCAATTATGTTCAAACAAGTTTCTTTAGCTGTTCAGCATATGGTAAGATGATTGACTGATAAGAATTGTGGTTCTCAAACTTTTTTGGGTTCGAGGGCACATTAAAGGGGAAAATTGGACATTATGTCACACTTATGAAGTGTCTGTAATACAGGATTTTAAATAAGGACGCTGATTAAAAGGATTTTGATAAATTCATCAAAAAAAAATAATCCCCTTTCCCTCAAAAAATGTCTAGTCACTCCGAACTAGCGTTCCACAATAAAAAGCCTGAGAACCACTTTACAAGAAGCTACGAAAAGTTCCCCGTCACAACTCTTTTTCTCGAGCTTCTGCGTGACTGAAATGATTTCGACAAGTGAAATGAGACTTTTGGTGAAAATGTTAAGGAAGTAATTTGATGGACAAATAAGTTAAGGAAAAAAGTTGTTTGTCCATAAAAATTACTTCCTTTACATTTTCTAGCCAAAAGTTTATAACAACTTTAATTACATTCCAATTTTCGTCCAAATAATTAGCATCATCTTGGGTATGTACATCGAGACATTAAAGCTGAAAACATTCTTGTTCAATCTGATGAGCATTACAAGTTATGTGATTTTGGATTCTCAACACAAATAACAAGTTCGCAGGATTATTTAAACACATTCTGCGGTAGTCCCCCGTATGCAGCACCTGAGTTATTCAAAGATGAACAGTATCTTGCCAGTCCAGTTGACATTTGGTCATTAGGTATTCTCCTATTTTTCATATTAACTGGTAGCATGCCATTTTCAGCACCATCAATACCTCAACTAAGAACAACAATTCTAAAGGGAGAATATCAACTTCCTGGAATTTTGTCACCATCATGTGTAAAGCTCATACGTAAGTATTGTAAAACAGAAAATGATAAATGCATGCAGCACAAGACATGCAATGGTAATACTGTATGCATTATATTTCCTATATAGAAAATACTTTACTTCACAATCCACTGCATAGACCGAGTATTGATCAAATATTAAGATGTGAATGGCTACAAAATCGATCAAAGAAAAGCCTTGTAAAAAGCCAGACGTCATTAGATGAAGCACAAACGATAATACAGAAGCGTAAGAGGCCTTCATTTTGGTGTTCAAAATCACGAAGGACATCGCCAATATCACCAAATAAAATTGAGAAACAACCACCGGAACCAATTGATTGTTACACAAAGAAGTTTGATAATGTACCTGTAGAGAAATTTAGAAATCCAATAGAAAATGAATCGTCGTCGATGTCATCAGCTAAAACCGTAATTCCCATAAATAATCATTTAAGTACATTTAAGCGCAACAATTCATTAATAAATAGCTCAAAGATTGTTAATAAAAGTCACAATAATAATAATGTAATTGCCCAAAACAACGACATAATTCAAGTCAGATCTTACTCGAATGACCATTTAGAGGACTCAAGTATAGAAAGTGAGAAAGACTTTGAACGCTTTATGATGATTCCATCGAGAACAAATTGTGACGAAGACTTATTAAGAGCTTTAAATCCACTCGAGAAGGAGGTTCGTAAACTAATGAATTCACATGGCATTAGCAATGAGCTACTCGAGAAACATATTGATAATGGACCACGTAGTGAAATTATAGGAATTTATCGTATTTTATTGATGAGATTAAAAACACAAAAGGAGCAGGCATCCATTGTAAATGGCAATCAAGGGCCAGATCGAAGGAGTTATAAAACAAGTAATGCTAGTAGAAGTAGTAATAGTAGTAGGAACCATAAATCACTAAGGAAAAAACGAAATAATTTTTGTGCCATTTTATAAGTTTCCAATTAATTTAAATTAATTAATTTAATGTGATATGAAATTGAAAAATAAATCAAAGATGTATTACCTCTTTTAAAGTAAAGCGTCTTGTCTTTTATTTTCTATTAATTATTTTGGGGTTTTATCTTCCAGCATCATCGTATTTAACTATTTTTGACTGTTTGTAAAGATTCTTTGTTCAGCGTGTATCTCATTCCAGAATTTTTAAAATAAGCTTCTATTGACGATACTTAGACATTTGAAGTTTCTGCTCTACGTTTGAGATAGGATTAATTAAAACTGATCATGGCTACAATTTGTAGTACCTTATATACTCAAATATATCCGTATTGGGTTTCTACCCGATACACTAGTTTTGTTATTAAAAAAAGTTTCAGGAAAACAAAAATGCATTTTTGAATTCATTGCAAACTTTATGACTTTAAATTACTTTGCTACACGAAATTTTGATGTAATTAGTCGACATATAACATTTTTTAAAGATATATAAATAAGCTCATACAAATGATACTCGACCCAATATATACATAAATATGTCGTCAGACAAAATAATTATCCTTAAATTTAAGTCTATCATAAGAAAAGAAAAGAATCAAATTATCATCATGGATATTGATGTATTTTAATAAAATTATTCGATCTACATTTTTTCAGCATCTTATCTGCACTTTATATGGTAAAAACCATCTGCATTATACCTTTTATAAAGCAACAGCATTTCATCTTTTTTTTAGGAAAAATAAATTTCATCTGCACTTTATCTGTGCCATCTGCATATTGGCAGTACTATCATTTTAGGGTAGCTGCATTTTAGGGATTTTTAAATTGAGGTGTTTTTAAAAGTACTACAGTTATAGCCATGATCAGTTTTAATAAGTTTTAATCCCATCTCAAACGTAGAGCAGAAACTTAAAATGTCTAAGTATCGTCAATAGAAGCTTATTAGCTTCCGCGTGGAACACGGAAGGTGTTTCTTTATGTCGGTCAAATTTTGTCAAAATTTCGCAACTCAAAATCAATCATATTGATATGTATATCAATAGAAAGCTACGAAGGTCTAGTATGGCGGAAATTTAGGCGCTTTGTGTGAATTTTCTTAGTTCTTGAGATATAGTAAAAAGTTTGTCACTTTATTTGTCTTTGAGTGGTTTCAAAAAATATTCATGTTAATCTTGATTAATTTTAAACCGGATTTAAGGGTTTGATTTTAATAATTTTGCTTTATTTGCTCAAAATGTTCGTAAATTGTCAAAAATGCATTCAAATAGTTAAAACCACTTTTAATTAATAGAAAAAAAAATTATTTAATTTTTTTGTTGATAGTAGCTGGTATTAATCCAGTAACACGGATTAACTAGTGCTTGATCTCCATTATTAATCCTGACTTATTTATTGTATTGAAATTATTTTGAAAAAATAATTAATAGTGGAAATGATATCAAAGGGACAATACATAAAAGATATAAAATCGATATTTTTTTGAAAATAGCCTACTATGATCAAAACCAAAAATGCTTTATATTGCATTTTAAAACATATCTAAGTATTAAAAATGATTAAGAATGCTAATATAGATATAAAATCGATATTTTTTTGAAAATAGCCTACTATGATCAAAACCATAAATGCTTTAAATTGCATTTTAAAACATATCTAGGTATTATAAATGATAAAGAATGCTAATATAGATATAAAATCGATATTTTTTTGAAAATAGCCTACTATGATCAAAACCAAAAATGCTTTAAATTGCATTTTAAAACATATCTAGGTATTATAAATGATGAAGAATGCTAATATAGATATAAAATCGATATTTTTTTGAAAATAGCCTACTATGATCAAAACCAAAAATGCTTTAAATTGCATTTCAAAACATATCTAGGTATTATAAATGATAAAGAATGCTAATATAGATATAAAATCGATATTTTTTTGAAAATAGCCTACTATGATCAAAACCAAAAATGCTTTAAATTGCATTTTAAAACATATCTAGGTATTATAAATGATAAAGAATGCTAATATAGATATAAAATCGATATTTTTTTGAAAATAGCCTACTATGATCAAAACCAAAAATGCTTTAAATTGCATTTCAAAACATATCTAGGTATTATAAATGATAAAGAATGCTAATATAGATATAAAATCGATATTTTTTTGAAAATAGCCTACTATGATCAAAACCAAAAATGCTTTAAATTGCTTTTTAAAACATATCTAGGTATTTTAAATGATAAAGAATATTAATAAAGATAAAAAATCGATTTTTTTTTGAAATAGCCTACTATGATCAAAACCAAAAATGCTTCAAATTGCATTTTAAAACATATCTAGGTATTATAAATGATAAAGAATGCAAATATAGATATAAAATCGATATTTTTTGAAAATAGCCTACTATGATCAAAACCATAAATGCTTTAAATTGCATTTTAAAACATATCTAGGTATTATAAATGATAAAGAATGCTAATATAGATATAAAATCGATATTTTTTTGAAAATAGCCTACTATGATCAAAACCAAAAATGCTTTATATTGCATTTTAAAACATATCTAAGTATTAAAAATGATTTAGAATGCTAATATAGATATAAAATCGATATTTTTTGAAAATAGCCTACTATGATCAAAACCATAAATGCTTTAAATTGCATTTTAAAACATATCTAGGTATTATAAATGATAAAGAATGCTAATATAGATATAAAATCGATATTTTTTTGAAAATAGCCTACTATGATCAAAACCAAAAATGCTTTATATTGCATTTTAAAACATATCTAAGTATTAAAAATGATTTAGAATGCTAATATAGATATAAAATCGATATTTTTTGAAAATAGCCTACTATGATCAAAACCAAAAATGCTTTATATTGCATTTTAAAACATATCTAAGTATTAAAAATGATTTAGAATGCTAATATAGATATAAAATCGATATTTTTTGAAAATAGCCTACTATGATCAAAACCATAAATGCTTTAAATTGCATTTTAAAACATATCTAGGTATTATAAATGATAAAGAATGCTAATATAGATATAAAATCGATATTTTTTTGAAAATAGCCTACTATGATCAAAACCAAAAATGCTTTAAATTGCATTTTAAAAACATATCTAGGTATTATAAATGATAAAGAATGCAAATATAGATATAAAATCGATATTTTTTTGAAAATAGCCTACTATGATCAAGACCAAAAATGCTTCAAATTGCATTTTAAAACATATCTAGGTATTATAAATGATTAAGAATGCAAATATAGATATAAAATCGATATTTTTTTGAAAATAGCCTACTATGATCAAAACCAAAAATGCTTTAAATTGCATTTTAAAACATATCTAAGTATTTTAAATGATTAAGAATGCTAATATAGATATAAAATCAATATTTTTTTGAAAATAGCCTACTATGATCAAAACCAAAAATGCTTTAAATTGCATTTTAAAAACATATCTAGGTATTATAAATGATAAAGAATGCAAATATAGATATAAAATCGATATTTTTTTGAAAATAGCCTACTATGATCAAGACCAAAAATGCTTCAAATTGCATTTTAAAACATATCTAGGTATTATAAATGATTAAGAATGCAAATATAGATATAAAATCGATATTTTTTTGAAAATAGCCTACTATGATCAAAACCAAAAATGCTTTAAATTGCATTTTAAAACATATCTAGGTATTATAAATGATAAAGAATGCTAATAAAGATATGAAATCAATATTTTTTTGAAAATAGCCTACTATGATCAAAACCAAAAATGCTTTATATTGCATTTTAAAACATATCTAAGTATTAAAAATGATTAAGAATGCTAATATAGATATAAAATCGATATTTTTTTGAAAAAGCCTACTATGATCAAAACCATAAATGCTTTAAATTGCATTTTAAAACATATCTAGGTATTATAAATGATAAAGAATGCTAATATAGATATAAAATCGATATTTTTTTGAAAATAGCCTACTATGATCAAAACCAAAAATGCTTTAAATTGCATTTTAAAACATATCTAGGTATTATAAATGATAAAGAATGCTAATATAGATATAAAATCGATATTTTTTGAAAATAGCCTACTATGATCAAAACCAAAAATGCTTTAAATTGCATTTCAAAACATATCTAGGTATTTTAAATGATAAAGAATATTAATAAAGATATAAAATCGATTTTTTTTTGAAATAGCCTACTATGATCAAAACCAAAAATGCTTCAAATTGCATTTTAAAACATATCTAGGTATTATACATGATAAAGAATGCAAATATAGATATAAAATCGATATTTTTTTGAAAATAGCCTACTATGATCAAAACCAAAAATGCTTTATATTGCATTTTAAAACATATCTAAGTATTAAAAATGATTAAGAATGCTAATATAGATATAAAATCGATATTTTTTTGAAAATAGCCTACTATGATCAAAACCATAAATGCTTTAAATTGCATTTTAAAACATATCTAGGTATTATAAATGATAAAGAATGCTAATATAGATATAAAATCGATATTTTTTTGAAAATAGCCTACTATGATCAAAACCAAAAATGCTTTAAATTGCATTTTAAAACATATCTAGGTATTTTAAATGATAAAGAATATTAATAAAGATATAAAATCGATTTTTTTTTGAAATAGCCTACTATGATCAAAACCAAAAATGCTTTAAATTGCATTTTAAAAACATATCTAGGTATTATAAATGATAAAGAATGCAAATATAGATATAAAATCGATATTTTTTTGAAAATAGCCTACTATGATCAAGACCAAAAATGCTTCAAATTGCATTTTAAAACATATCTAGGTATTATAAATGATTAAGAATGCAAATATAGATATAAAATCGATATTTTTTTGAAAATAGCCTACTATGATCAAAACCAAAAATGCTTCAAATTGCATTTTAAAACATATCTAAGTATTTTAAATACTTAAGAATGCTAATATAGATATAAAATCGATATTTTTTTGAAAATAGCCTACTATGATCAAAACCAAAAATGCTTTAAATTGCATTTTAAAAACATATCTAGGTATTATAAA